GTTTGGTCAGAAAAACATAATAAAAATAATGAGCACGCAAGACCATAATGAGGAAATGATGGATTTAATGGGACGGACCACTTCTCCTGCAATTTCTGCAACCAGGTGTACCACAGCACACACCCTTCTGGACATGGAGTTGACAGGGTTGGATTTGCTTGGACCTCCATTGATTGATCAGCCATCTTCTACTCTCCAGAGTTCTTCACCTGCAAGATTATCTCCCACCATACAACCTTGTCCCTCACAAGGTCAATCTGGAGATCAAACGCAGAGGTCAGAACTGAAATTGATAATGAAGGATTTAAATCAAAACATGGAGATCAAACTAAGCAAAATGGAAACAAAAATGAAGAAGTTAAATAAAGAACAAACACAGGAAATCTATGGGCACATTGATGCACAATTTGAATACTTCCTGTCGCAAATAAAAGCTTCTTTTGGATGGAGAATGAAACACCAGCAAACTGAAGTGTTACAGGAAATTCAAACTTTGTTAACCCCAATTACTGCCAGTGTTGCTGACCTGCAAATGGACGTCACCAACCTGCAGAGGGAGCTGACGGATCAAAGAGCCACACTAAAAGAAATGTGTGAGGAAATTTCAACAAATGTAAAATCTGTACATCAAGTTCAGCAGGCTATATTGGATCAAACAACTCAAACCGCATATTACAACTTACCAGATACCACAGATGTCATAAGTAGACCCCGGATGGAGTCTACTGCAAGACCTGCGGCTCAAACTACTACCTCTGACTTTTCTACAACACCTGCGAACCGTAGCCATCTATGAAAAAGTACAATAAAGCTACAGTTTCCAACGTATGGGAAGATGGAAGATAACCCTGATCCTCTTCGTTACCTGGAAAGATGTGAGGACTACTTGGCCCTTAATCCTCTAACTGATGAAGAGCTAATGGCAACCCTGAGGAATGTGTTGTACGGCACAGCTAGAGACTGGTGGGATGTTGCCAGACAAAAAATCCGAACTTGGACCGAATTTCAAAAAGGCCTCAGATCTGCTTTTCTCACAGAAGACTATGAAGATGAACTAGCTGAAAGAATCAGAACAAGAAACAAGGAGACAATGAAAGCATCAGAGATTTTGCTTATATGTACCAATCCTTGTGTAAACGTTGGAAACCAAAAATCACAGAAGAAGAAATAATAAAACTGATTCTGAAAAATATCAATCCAAACTTGGCTAGTCAACTACGTAGTAGCAGAGTGAGTACTGTAGATGAACTTGTACGGATGGGACAACAACTGGAGAAAGACAGAAATAACCAGCATCATTATGAAAGCTGGAAAAAAGAAACTACCTCAACAAAACCATCTACTTACCGAGCTCCGAATTCAGAGAACACAAGGTCTAGATCACGCAATCAAACGCAGGCATTTTGTTGGCACTGCAAAAGTAACCATTCACCTGCTACCTGCCCACACAATGTTCAGCGTCGTACCTTTTCACCATCTATCTCTGAAAATCAAGTGACTCAACCGATGACTACAGGAATTCCTATTACCTTTGGACCTCCAGAAACCCATACTACCGTTTCTACCTATAGCAGCCCATTACCATCACAGCTATTGGTATCATTAAACATTGGATCTTGGAAAGGAACAGGAATTCTCGACACTGGTTCTTCATACACCCTCATCAATGAGAAGGTATGGTCAAAAATAAACAAAAACATGAACTCTTGGGAAAGAGGACCCCTATACTTGGCCGATGGTAGAAGTCAACAACCACTTGGATGGAGCGACTTGACCATTACAGTGAAGACTCAAGTAATCACATTACCTTGTGTTATTCTACCAGCACACAGTCTTGTTTATTCAGCAGTCCTTGGCCTAGACTTTATCTCTCTCTCAGGATTACAACTGAATGTAGCAGAACTTAAATATTGGTTTAAGTCGGAACCAGAACAACAGTATGTATTTGGGCAGAACTCATCAATCAGCCAACCCCAACTTGCTCTTTTCACTGCAATAAACCCAGCTCATTCACCAGCTGTTCCATTGAATAAACATCTTTTCCAAAACATCATTGACAAAGCACACCTTGACGATTTTGGAAAAAGTTCATTACATTGGCAATTGGAAACAAATTCGGATGTGTGTTCAAACTCATTGGGATGTACGGATGTACTCACACACAAAATCTACTTGTCTAACGATGTACCCATAAAACAAAAACCATACAGAGTCTCGCCCACAAAACTGCAAATAATAAAGGAACATGTATCTGAAATGCTGGAACAAGGAATCATTGAGCCTTCTACTTCCTCATATGCTGCCCCAGTTGTACTGGTACCAAAAAAAAAATGACCCTAAACTACGTTTCTGTGTAGACTACCGCAAACTCAACGCTGCTACCCACACAGACTCGTACCCACTACCAAACATACAAGAAATCCTAGAATCTCTCGCTGGAGCAACCATATTCACCACCTTAGACCTCAATAGTGGATATTGGCAAGTCAAAATGAACCCCACAGACAAAGAGAAAACTGCTTTTGTATGCCCCATTGGATTATACCAATTCAAAGTAATGCTCTTTGGATTGAAGAACGCACCAGCTACTTTCCAAAGGTTGATGGAAATCGTCCTTGGAGAACTCAAAGGAAAAAAATGTTTTGTATATCTTGATGATATCATCATTTACTCTTCCTCCCATACACAACATCAACAGGATATTCAAGCTGTATTGGATAAACTACGTGAAGCTAACTTAACTGTGAACATGGACAAAAGTCAGTTTTTCCGTACACACCTGAAGTTTCTTGGGCACACTGTTTCTTCAGAAGGGATAACTGTGGATGAAGAAAAGAGCAAAGCTGTACAAGACTTCCCTGTTCCAACGAACCTCAAACAGTTGCAAAGGTTTCTTGGAATGGCGGGATGGTACCACCGCTTTGTACCTGGATTTTCTCACCTCACTGAACCATTGAATGCACTGAAAAGAAAAGGAGAAAAATTCAATTGGACTCCTCAATGTCAAACATCTTTCGAAACTATTAAACAACTGCTTACCTCTCCTCCTGTATTAGGACATCCAAATTTCAACTTACCTTTCATTGTGTACACAGATGCCAGTGATGTAGGTCTTGGAGCAGTCTTAGCCCAACAAACTGGGTTAGGTACGGAGCAAGTTCTCGCCTTTGCCAGTCGAACTCTAAACAAAGCAGAAAGAAATTACTCTACGACAGAACAGGAATGTCTCGCTGTGTTATGGGCATTAGAAAAATGGAGATATTACCTGGAAGGAAAACCATTTACTGTAGTAACCGACCATTCTTCATTAATCTGGGTTTTCAAAACACAAAAACCAAGCACCAGATTAATCCGATGGGCCCTACGTCTACAAGAATTCACTTTCACTGTGGAATACAGGAAAGGGAGATACAACACAGTGCCGGATGCCCTTTCACGAGCTCCACTGATGGACTCAGAACATTCTTTTTCCTCTTGTGCTGTTGTACTGAGATCAAAAACAGACACATCTGATCCTTTGCAAATTACAGATGAAAACATCTGGAGAGAACAACAAACAGACCCCTTTGCCCAAAAATTATACACTGAAATAATGGAAAAAGGTGAAATAAAGGAGAGTCAAGTAATCACATATACAGTATTGGAAGACAAGGTTTACCGAGTGGTTAAACTGCCTCACAAAACCACTTATCAAGTCTACATACCGCCTTCTCTCCGATCACAACTTCTATACCACTACCATAATGATCCCTTATCAGGACATTTAGGCAGATATAAAACTTATAAAAGACTGCAAGCTCTTGTCTTTTGGCCAAAAATGAGTTTAGATGTCAGAGACTATGTGCGCTGTTGCCAAATTTGTCAAGTATGCAAACCCGAAACCAGAAAGCCTACTGGTAAGCTTCAACAGCCCACCATAAGTAAACCATGGGAAATGCTCGGAGTAGATCTCATGGGCCCCTTTCCTCGCAGCAACAATGGTAACATATACTTGCTAGTATTTGTTGACTATTACAGCCGGTGGGTCGAAATGTTTCCTTTACGCAAAGCCACAGCTGAAGTTGTAGGACAACATTTAATAAAGGAAATATTGACTCGCTGGGGTGTACCTACATACATACTCTCTGATCAAGGACCTCAATTTGTTTCTTCTCTTTATGATGAACTTTGTAAAAAATGGAACATGATACCTAAAAGAACTTCTGCATATCACCCACAAACGAATTTGACGGAAAGAGTCAATCGCAACATTAAAACCATGTTGGCCTCTTATGTAGATGCAAAACACAAAACGTGGGACAGATTCTTACCCGAATTCCGTTTTGCCATAAACACCGCCGTTCATGAATCCACTGGAATCACTCCAGCCGAACTGAATACTGGACGCCATCTCCGAGGACCTCTAGATGCTGAACTCAACCCACATCTGAGTAATCCTGATACTGCTGCCTATTCTACAAGCAAACACTTGGCTGAACTGCAAAAATTTGCAACAGATCACCTGGAAAAAGCAAAACAGAGCCAGAAAAGACACTATGACAAAAGACACCGTGATGACACGTACTCCGACCAAGATCGTGTCTGGATACGCACGCATCATTTATCAAAGGGTGATAAATCATTCACAGCAAAACTTGCACCTTGATGGAAAGGACCATATCGAGTCATCAAACAGACTGGTCCTGTAAATTATGAAATCATGCTGGAAGATACTGGAGAAGACCATAGAATAATCCATGTATCGCAAATGAAACCTTGTTATCCTACGGCAAGAGAATGGGACAGGCTACAGAAACAAAAAATCATTAAGATTTTTCAAGAAGACAGTGATGAGGAAGATTTCACTGGATTTCCTCCCATTGATCAAAAATCTTAATGGAAAAAAGAATAAAATAAAAAATTTAAATCAAAACCGAATCAAAATGTACAGACATGGTATTATGAATTTTCCACCTACCATGCTGGTATTCATAAGGGGGGGGGGGGGGGGGGGATGTAACAATCTGAAATTGTCATGACAATATGGAGCTAAGCACTCCACTGCTCCTCTCACTTTTTTTTTCTTCTTGATTATAAATCTGCTGCACCTGTGTGCAGCTGGCTGCCGCACCCTAAACAGGAAAAAAATAGAAAGTGCCTTCAAGCTCCACAGACTTTCTCTCCACCTGTGAACAGAGTGACGTGAACACAGGCGCACAGTGATTTCTACTGAGTAAACAGGCTGTTTTTTAATCAAAGAGGCCGTTAATCCCTCAAGGATTGAGACAGATCTGGAAGAGACCCTGGACGCACCATATTCATCGCTACTTGACCACTGATGTAAGTTCCTACTGACCGTAGCGAGAAAAGGAAAATGAAGCCAAAACTCATCTGAAAATTCTTTTAAAGGGGGATTGCTTAATCGGATTGCCCATTGAAGAGATCCTTACGTCAAGCAAACGATCTACTAAAACGTGAGTTAAAAAGAAAACTAAACTCAGAATTTGGGTTTGCTCAATGACAGGATGAAAATGGAATCGATTATTAAAAGAAAATTATTTCCTTTGTAGTGAGAACGTGTGTTTCAAACTTCTCATCACTCTCATTTGTTAAACGACCCCTGTCAAGTAAGTTTATTTGAAAATTTTGTGTATATATGTAAATAGTAGAAAATGATATTATAAGTGTAATTTCTTTGTTTGTTTATAGCTTTTCCAACACAAGGGTAAAATTCTGCACTCACCTGCAAGCACCTCTCCTCCATAATGGACAATTCAGCTAAATAAACCGCATCTGTGAAATTGCTCAAACCTGATTTTCCTCTGGACTATTACCTCCATTCATTTCATTTTTTTGGTCAGACAACTTAATGTAAGGGTGTATGTCTAGTAACATATTTCCTTGTGTAACGGGAGATTTTATGTTCATTCACCATTGCAACTTGTACGCCTGTTTTTTGTTTTGTTATTTTATCCCATGTGTCAGGAGGGAGACCTGACTGGCGCCCAACGTCCATATTCATCTATTTAGTCAATAAAGCAAAACCTGAAAACCGTTACAAACATCAAGGTTTGAAATAAACAACACTTTCTCTGCTACTTTTAAGCTGAATAAATCTCTTGAGCCTATGGTTAACCTCTCTGACAAACAGGTTGTGCTTAACCCTTTGGTTCCTAATGCTTCTCCTCTGTCATCCATGTTAAAGGCTGAACATCCCTCCAGCATGGGTGTGAAATCTTCAGGCTGTGACCCACCGCTTCAGTCAGAGGTCTGTTTTACTCGTCAGTCCGCCTCATGCACAAACCAGCTTCTTTATCGGGGCGTGATGGAAACGTCAGCCGCTGTGAAACACTTGTGGCCTCCGGACGGAGCTACAATGCCATTTAAGGGGTTTGTGCCCGGACATCTTGACCTTTATGTGAATGACCTTGTCATTTCTCAGTTTGTGACCTCTGCTAATACGGTGGCCAATTCCTTTCTCCTTTCACAGGGGTGTGACTTAGTCTCGGGCCTCTGTGCTCTCTTTCCTGTGATTTCTCTTACAGGTGACCACGACGACGCAGAAAACCCTGCAGGTTCCAGTAGTCAAGTGGTCAGTGGCGATATTGAAGGAGGCTCGGCGGTTGCAGCGCACACCTCTCTCACGGGCTCGGGAAGACCACCCGGTCCGGGAGGTGTAGGTGCGGGCAGTGATGCTCTGCTCGGGGCCCCTCCTGACAAAAGGGGGGTGCCGAGTGGCACTGAGTTTTCCGTTGCGGACTTCAGGCTGTTCGGGGGAAACCCTCCTCCGAGCGGGCGGGTCATTGCAGAAATCGACACTGACCTTCCACCAATTCAGCTGACGACATTGACCTCCGACCCGGAGTTAGGTGCTGCACCTTCTACGGGGCGGAATTCTAGTCAGTCTGTAACTACTCTGGTTAAACCGGGTTTTTCTGATTCTGTGTGGGAACCTCCATCATTCTTGGGAATAAAGTATTCTTGGCTTCAGTTTTCAGGACAGACCATGTTCCTAAAGCTAGCATCATGTCTGTATCTGATTCTAAACATGGCTAGATTTGCTTTGACACCCGTGACACAACCATCCTTGGATCACTCCTTTTCAGAACCTCCACGTCCAACACCTCCGGGTCTTTGGACATCTGAACACCTACTCTTTCAGCACGATTCAGGTGACAATGTGCATCTTCTTGGTAACAGAGCTTTTAAGAGCTTAAGAACTGTTCTTTGTTATGCTTCTCCTGTCTCACAGACACGGCATAAGTTTGAGAAACAAAAGGGGGGTGGAGAGCCTCCTCCTGCTTTGCGAGCATCGGTTTCGCATTTCCAGTTCACTACTATTTCTGATCACAACAAAGTCGCCTCCGTAAAGCTGCAACCCAACTTTGAGCAGGTAAAATCAGGTTCTGATCTAACAGTTAAACCATCAGCTTCGCTCCAGTTCCGTACGGAACCCTCAGGTAAATTCAAACAAGTTTCCCTGTGGGTTCGTAACACAAGATACAAACAGTTTGATAACCAAATCGCTTATGAGCCTGCTCCCACAGATACGTCCAACCTCGTGTCTCTGTGGGTCCGCAATACCAGATTCAAAACTCTATTCTGACCAACTCTATTCTGACCGGATTCTTTTCCACTGACTGGTGGACCGTTACAAATTCTCTCGTTTGTGGGATGAATTTTTAACAAATGTGATATCCTTTGGTTTTTTTTTTTTTTCAGGTTACCTGCCTCCAGCCAGGGTCCTGTTACTAACTCACATCTTTAGGGATTACTAACCTACTGATTTACATTTTTAGAACTGATTTACATCTCTATCTTTTTATTAGTGCTTTGTGTAGCATGATTATATTTGATTACAAATTTGATTTTATTTTGTTACTATTTCCCTTAAAGGGCCACAAGCCAATTTGCCCTTCATTTTCATGATTATTTCCTTTATATATATGCCTTTGATTAGTGCAGCCTGCTGAGTTTCACATATCAGTGAGGATTTACTTTCTTTTATTTGTGTTTTCACTGCATCACGTTTTTACATGACATGTAGAGCAGGGTGCAGAACATTTCTTCTTTAGATAATTCACAAAAGGCATCCACATTTTCCCAGAGGCACCCATAGATAGGTTTTGATTGATTTCTTTGATTTGCATCAAATGCTATCTATCGTGTGGGCTGTCTCACTTTGTCTCCTTCTCCGAGCTCGTATGGACTACATCCCATCAGAGGGGTCATCTTCACCATCCTTCAGCTGGTTTCCTGTCGCATGGGGCTTCGGTCGTGGTTCGAGATGGGTCGAGGTCTGCGCTGGACTTCGCCTGGACTACGCCTGAGGAACACATCACCTGCCCAGCTCCGTGTGGCATACGAGCTGCTTATCCTTTGAATACCTTTGCATTATTGCTGATGAAAATTAACTGCTATTGAAATAGCTCTGCTTTCAAGATTCCCTAAGTGGATTACTTTACAATGATTGCAACAGTTTTGGCCTTAATCATCTGATCAGGATAGACTCCCTTCTACACGAGACCTGTGGTGACGCTTCATCGTTCCTGCCTTCATCTGGGATGTCTACCTTCACGAGTACATCACGTTATTGTGGTTGTGACGTCAGGTGGCCTCTGCTTGACCACCATGTCGTCACAAAAAGGGGGGACTGTAACGTGAGGAAATATGGGTTTTCTATCACAAAGGTGGTGCTGGACGCAGCTAGGTCAAAGCTGGGTCATTGAGAACTTTCACCCACAGATTAAGTCCTGAACGCCAGCGAGTCTGGGAGGAAACCATAACATCAGCCACCTGCAGTCTACCAGAAGATGTGTTTACATGAGTTGTACCCAGACCAAGTCAAAACATAAAGTTTAAACTTCTTTTTCTTGATTTTAATGTTAAAATAACCATTATCATTTTGCTCATTATAAATGTGTTTAATCAAATGAATGGTTCTTATGCTTTGGGGTAATTATAATGGCTTAATGAATCCATAATTAGATAGTGTTGAGAATGTTTGGTACTGACCTTCACACTCAAGCACACAAACATTCACACACACCCACACACACCTTCCCACAGTAAACTCCAGACACATTTGATGACGCACAGGTTTTGCTTTGAGAAGAGAAAGGTTTTTGGTAAGTTTTCAGTCTTATGATTCAGTTCGTGTTGGACAACGAGAGAGAACAGACCTGAAAACCAAAGGGGGGGCAGAGCCTGTTGGCTCGTTCTTCCCCCCTTTCACGCTGTTTCTGCCAAGCCAGGCAGAATAGCTGAATCGCGACTTCTAACGAAGACTCATTACCGAGTCTTTTGATTTCTGAGTGAATTAACTTAAGAAAGCGCATCGATAAAACGCTCTACCATCCACGTGTACCGAGGGCAACTCTGGACCGGTTCCGTTCGACACCTACGTCTCCTGTCAGCCGCCGGTGTCATCTGGATGAACCACAACATCCTCCACGGCCCGGATCCGAAAGAGGGTCCACAAGAGTTTGGTGAGACAGAGCACGGTTTTAGCGTTTGATGCAGTTCTCTGATAAGACCTAAGTTTATCCAAACCATCACTTCACTCAGACACCTGTTCTTCCTGAAGCAAAATCAGACTCACACACGCATTCATGTCACAACATTCTCAATCTTCATAAATTCATCAGAAGGTCTATTTGAGCCAGAACAGCATATCAACTGTTAAAAAGATTGTCCCACAAAGTTACCAATGTTGATTGTATTTCCTGTTTGTCAATTTCAAAATCATTAGTTTAATATGATGAATTAAAACTTTTAATTGTGAAACTGGTTTCCTCATTGAACTGAAACACAGACACTCAGATATTATCGTCAGTTTATCGGTGAAAACAACCTTTGAGTCTTCTGAACAATATAAAATTTGGTTATTGATTTATTAAAATTAATATTCCGAATTAATACGTAGCATGGTTTCTCTTTCATAAAAGAGCATAAATCCATAACGCTACACCACACTGTCAACCAGTTATTAGAAAGGGTGCAATTTAATTAAGGTACTCACTCACTCATCCGATCCTGTCTTCCACACACTCAGAGCTTTTGGCCGGGGACACACACACACACACGATGTAATACTCTCAAAGTCCCCGATTCACGCACACCTCCACACACACTCCCTTACCAGAAACAAGCTCAAAATCCTCCAAACTTTAGCCAAACAATCTCACACTTGCTTATTTTTTTTCCTTTCTTCAGCCAAACTTTCTCACACACTCAGAGCTTGTGGCTCACACGCACACGGCCACAACGAGACGGTAGCCGACCCACCTCAATCAACACACACACACTCGAATGCAACAAGACAGCAGCCGAACCAACCAATGAAACGGCAACCAATACACTTCAACCGGAACACACCATCCCAGAACTTTAGTCAAACAATCTTGTTTCTTTTTTCCAGTACCTCTACATTCATACTTTCTCATACATGCACAGAACAGAATGAACAGGACAGGATAGGACAACACCGAACCTGCAGGTTTTATCACACACACTGAGACGCAATGAATCGGCAGCCGAAACAACGCTCCCAGCCGGGTTTTTTAGCACTTCAGCACAGATTTCAAACCACAATAAATGCGACGTCCACACTGGGACAACCGACACCAATGTTCAGATACCATCAACACTTCACAGGACCACAAAGATCTCCTTAACCAGAAGTAACAAACCCGATCAGAAATGGGACGCAGCCCCGATACCAGATGCACAACAAATTACGAATAACACACAGCAAGGCCGAATTTAGACCGACTTAGGATACTTTGGCCAAATGTAGCGGTGATTACTTTTAGTGTACCTTCGACGCACCATAAAATATTTAAACAATCCCAGCAGCAGTGTGATTTTTAGCAACAAGCCTCTCCACTCGACACCAGCACATGGACTCTGTGCTGCGTGTATATATTTGCTTATCCGCTTTACTGTGGCTACACATCACTTCTCATTGCAGTGCCGCAGGCAGGTTGCCATCATCTACCCAAGCCAGTATATATTTCACATACATGGTCACTAAACCCAAGACGAGTTGGATGCGCACACCAAGACTCGCTGAGAGAACTTCCCAATGCACTTCCATGCAGACAGAGTTAAACAGAATCTGTCAAAACCTTCCTGTTGGCAGCTGCAAAAAAGAAGCGTGTGCCTGTGCCCACTGCGGTTGGCCGCGTTAACGCAGCGCTGGTTTAGTAATGGTTTTAGGCGCTCCTGCACATTCACCTGTAATTACCACCCACAGCACTGCGGGACTCCTGTGTGCGCAGACACAGACTAATTACAACCTCCTAATCCCAAGGCCAGGACTACAGCCCCGGCTCACGTTCCGTGCAACCCTTACGGTTCACCTGTGCAACCCCTAGCTGGACACGAAAACGTCTTTTCGGGCGTGAATGTCAGTCACCACAATCAGCTTAAAACCACACTGCCAGTGGTTAAGGAAAAAGGTGCAAAATAATGAGGTACTTACTCTCCTCTGCGTGGTAAATTTGTCCTGAGTTCAGGAAGGTGAAAGCATAAATGGGAATCTGCCTGCGGGGCTAAAAAAGCCGGCTGGTGAAACAATTTTAGTTCCCCGGGCTTTGATGAGGTAAGCGGCGCCTGCACGGCTCCCCGAAGACAGCTTCCCACCAACGGCTCTGCCATCCCGGGTTTCGGCACCACATGATAGGTAATTTTTCATTCATCCCATATTACCTTAAAGGAAGACGCACGCAGAGGAATTAGATTGGTTATTCGTAATTTGTCCATGACCCTTTAACCTGAAATAAACACACATACGCAAAGAGGATTTCATTGTACACCAAGTGCCAAACAGTGGAGAGAAGACGCAGGGATAACCCCCTCTGGAGCTGCCCCCACGTCTCTCTCCCACTCCTCAGTTTCCCAGGGGTTTTATTGACAAACAGGACAGAGAAGGCGGGCCTTCTCAAGTTACAGACATACAGACTCATCTCCTACGGTTACCACATTCCAGAGATAACAGCACAGCAGGCGGCCTTACAGAGGACTCACACACAGTCATCTCAAAAGGGACATAAAATACAGAAAAAAAACTATCAAGACTGAACAGCGTCTTTGGATGACATGCAGTGTTTATTTATTCTGGTTGGTCTGAGTAGCATGTTAAATTCTGTCTCTCACAGGCTGTTGAATGACTATAGGGAGCCTATGTCACGCCCACCTATTTCCAGACTATGGATCCCTGGAAGAACAAAAAAATAGATGCAAGTGAACGGGGCTAAAAAGGCTTTTTTCTAATTCCACCTATGTACCATGGGTTTCACAGATGATGTCCGTGAATTTTAAAGAAGCTTTTTGATACCAAGAACTCGCTTATTTTCTAACAGGGGGAAACATTATTTAAGGTTTTGTGTGAAAATAAGTCCAGAACTAAAAATGTGCTTCATGAAAGGGACGTCGTTGAACTAGACACGGAGAAAACTGAGGGAAAATGGCTGTAAGTTCAGCAAACTTCCCACAGGAGGAAAGAACCACCATAAATCTGGTCATTTGGTAAGTAGCAGCTACGCTAGGGGAGAGGAGATTATGTGGTGACGTCACATATGCAACGTGCCGATTTCTAGTTTATACTCATGCATGACAGGCGTGGTCGAAATAACCATCATTACTTGTCTTGTAAATTGCAGTAAAACATGTGTGCGATCCAGGGTGTAAGGCAAAGCGGATTAGAAAACAGCATTTTTAGCCCCGTTGACTTGTATTCACTTTTTTGTTCCTCAGGGACCCGTGAGCCGACTGTAAAGGAAGGAGACCTAGGCTCTCTATAAATACATGAATCTGAATATAAAAAGAGGTACAACTGTACAATCATTTTTTGGGGGACTTATCCCCCCCCCCCCCCCCCCCCCACACACACACACACACACACACACACCACCTGGTCATTTATTACTTTAAATGTTACCAAAGAAATTTAATACATTTTTAATTAAATGTTTAATTACAGCACCACCAGACAGGTAGTGGTTTTAAGATCAGATGGTTTTAAATGATTTTTGTTTGACAGGTTAGTGTCCAAATTTCTCAGCATGAATTTAAGCGTTTGCTAAAAAAAACTAATAAAACTCGTTCAGTACCTGATGTTTGACGTTTTGCACGATTCATCATTTTTAGTTCAACCCTTAAATAAAATAAATCAGTAGGGTTAGCAGTGACAGGTGGAGATGCTGCAAGCCGCGATGTATCTGCAGGCTGCACAAACAGACAAATGCTCATGCTTACACACACACACACACACACACACACACACACACACACACACACACACACACACACACACACACACACACACACACACACACACATGAATGCGAGAAGCAGCACATAAAGGCAGAGGGCAGACAGGCAGAAGACACTCCATCGAATGAGCAAACAGACCTGAGAGATAACAGTCGAGATGATGATGACGATGAAGAACCCCGTCATTCTGGCCACCTGCGTCTTGATTTTCTCCTCTCTGACCATCCTGGCACATGAAAGTGAGTTTGCCGCTTTCTTTTAAAAACAGTTAAATCCATTTTGTTTTGCTGCATTTATTTATAAGGAAAATCAGGCAAATGTCTAATATTGTTGTTGCTAAATTGCGTGGAAAAAAATCTGCATAAATAAACTCTTTTCAAGGATTATTCCAGTTTATTTAGCTGCATCAGGCATAAAGAAATAAATTATGAAATTTATGTTTTGGACTGATTTGACATTAATCTAATAGTAATAGAAATAAATTCTAAATACAAACCATACACTAAAAGCTGAGGTTGTTCTGAAAAAAGGAGAAGAGTTACACACACTTTGCACTTTTTATTACAAATTTACAGCCATAAGATTAAAAAATACCAGGCGGCCCTGTTATAATTATGGTCATAAGAGGGTTATTAATACGGCGATGCACAAACAGGAAGCGATTGGTAGTCATTCCACTCCAATCCAGTTAGTGGTGGTAATGCATCAAATTGTTGTTTGCCAGGTGCCATAAGACCACAAATAAGAAGAAGAAGAGAGGCGGGAGCGTTTGTAACAAACTCAGAGCGATAGTCAAAACATGAAGCATGAAATAGAGTTATCCTTGTGGCTCCAATAAGAGAAAGAAGCAGCTTGCTTCATAAAAGCTTTTATCTTCCCTTCCAAAAGTGAAATCGTTTTTCGATGTAAACATCAAAAGGAAAGGAAAGACAATGGAAAATGTTTCAAGGGAGGAAAACATAGACGAAAATGGACAATAGAAAAATAAAAAACTAAAGCCGGGCGTACACTGTGCGACTTTTTCACTCGTAGCACGCAGCTTCAGCTCAAACTGTACGACTTCCTCGCAGGGCAGATCTCACGAGCCAGGCGCTCACACTGTACGACCCAGTTCTCAGATGCGACCTGCTGCTCACACTGTACGTCTGGTAGCAACACGTCGGACCTAAAAATATGCTAAAAATAGCAGTTTTTACTCAACACGTCAGACTTGTTTGTCTTGTTTTGCCTGTTGTCCTTCAGGAGTGCTGCAGGAGGACGCACAGGGATTTATGTATAAATCTGTGTTTTGTGATCAGTTTAATTGGACATGAACACGACAAACACGCTTTCTTGACAATCTTTGTGAGTAAAAAAACGTGTAGAAATTAAAACGAACAACATGTGTTATTAAGGAAATAGCGGGGAGCGGTGTTGATGCAGGATTGCGCATGCGCTATGAGCGGTTCTGATACATTTTGGGTCGCAGCTGCTCGCAGCACCGCTTCAACAGTGCGATACCCTCACGAGGGACGAGCGAAATATCAAACACTCCAACAGGGCCGGCTTTGCCAACAGGCAACACAGGCGGCCGCCTGGGGCGCGATCTGATGGACAGGGCGCAAAATAAAAATAAATCAATAAAAAAATTATAAAAAAGTTTATTAAATTTATGTTTGTAATATGAAATGCACTCTCTACATACTCAAAATTCCCCTCTGAAATGACATGAAATTAAAACATCAATATTTAAATTCTGATGATCTGGCTGCATGACGAGCTCCCGCTTGGGCCACCGCTCCGATGCATTTGACCGTTAAGGGTGCCGTAGATCACGTGCATGGGTGGCACTGTAGAAGGACTTCCTGTTGTCGTCGCGTATAAACTTTTGATATCTTTTACGATGAAAAGAACACCTAAACCATCGGGATCAGCATTCCCAAAGCGAAGGAAGGAGGAAGAAAAAAAAAAAAACGGGCCCAAAGCAGAGGTATGTAGACTTTATAAATTTGGCAAAGGAACTTTTTGAGTTACAATTTTAGCTAACTGCCTCTCCTGCCACGCACGGTCCACGGACGGACCCTCGCTAGCTGTTTACATACACAATACAGTATTTCATAACTTTTACCAATTATTTTTACTTTTGAATCGTCGTGTCCAGATGCAGTGAGACATTATCTGCAGCCACACAGGCACCTGTTGACACCACGGGGGCGGGACTGTCTTCTACACCTGTTGAGTCTCAGTACCACGTTTACATGCGCATATTTAATCGGATTGAATGCCCATTCAGATAGAAAATTCTGCATGTAAACATGTCAATCAGAATATTCTGATCCGATTCGGCCCGATCGGATTGAAATTTCAATCCGATTGAGAGAGGTGGTTTATTCCGTTCTTCATTCCGATTGACGTGCATGTGCACAGCCATTCGGATTGTTGGGGTAAAATAATGCCCACTGCGCATGTGTGCAACAGCCAGCGAGCCTCTCCGCTGTCATTTGGACTGCCTGACTTCAAAAATGACGGTGTAATTAACGAGCGGCGGCTTTTAAATCCGACGTCAAGCCGTCCCGTTTCAGTAATATTTAATTCAGAACTTGCATTTTGTGGAAGTAAAAAAAAATCTGATTATTGCACAAATCATTCGACAAAGATGTTCAAATCTGTACTGGAAATACGCGGGTTTATCGTGGGGGTTGCAGCGCACGGATCCCCGTTTCTGTCAGCTTTGAACACAGCAGCTTCTGCAGCAGGTGATGGAGACGCGCTTGTAAAGAACACAGGATAATATGGGTTTTACAGACCTGATTGGAGGCTGATGTTGGGTAGGAAAACGTCCTCGGTTAAATACTCTGGACGACAGTAAAGTCCGTGTTCGTTAAAAGCACGTAAACGCAGATGACCTGAGATGCGGTTCGTTAATGATGAACACAGGCTTCTAAAACTTTCTGAACATCTTCTGTTATTTTGTTTGAACAGATTTTTCTCAACAGTTTCAGCTGATCGTCACATGTTATTAATAATAAGCCACAACAGAGCTCAGTAATAAAACATGAGGCTAACCCCCCCACCCCCCACCCCCGCTCTGTGGCGCAGCGCAGCTCAACAGCTGTCAATTCAGACCCGCAGACCAGCTGATCAAGAGGCAGACATAACCCTCCCTTATTTTAATCAACAATAAAATGCAGCAAAGCATATATCTGCAGTTATTCACTGAAGAAAACGTAACTTCTATGAGCTAAATAAAAATATTAAATTGAATAAATGGATCAGGAAAGCAGGAAGAATGGTTATTTCTGTTTTTACATTTTTCTTTTCGTTTCATGGCGTTTGTTTACAATTTTTCTTTCGTGAAAGGCAACTCTGCGCATGCTCAACCTATTTAATCGGATTAAATGCTTGGTGCATATGTACGCACGGCATGATCGGATCATTTCAGTTCGTGTCCATGTGAACAGAGATTCGGAAATTCCGATCAACCAAGATTTCAATCGGATTGAGGAAATTTGCCACATGAAAACGCAGCTGATGAAGAATGTAAGATTTTTTTTTTACTGTTTTTCGAGTATGATTGCAGCCTTTTTATGAACTTCGATTCAAGTTTTAAGAACGCATACAATATGAATTTAATATTTGCATATCAGAAGAACGCTAGGTGTGTGTGTAGCAAAATTTCAACTTTTTCTGACACATCGGGCTGGCGGCACCGCCGCGGCCGTGGCGGGGACTCCCCAGCTGCCGCCGGCAACGCGTCGGCGTTTCCTTGTTTAATAAATGAAATCCTCAGAGTGCCTCAGATCACCGGTTCTTCTTCCTCATGTTCTACAATTTATTTGATGCTGAAGAGCACCTGAGAGTGAGACATAAGTTTTTTCAAATATTCCCCATGGATGCGCTCACTTCCACCTGTTTTTGATCATTTTATTCATGTTTTCATAGAACAGATTAAAAAAAGATCAATAAAATAAAAAGTCCAGTAACATTAAAAATAATGAAAAGCATCACTGCACATGACTGAGGAATACTGAATGTGAAAGTGGCACTGTTCTTAATTCATGCATCAGAAGGTTAAGTTGCTTTGTGTGTGTGTGTGTGTGTGTGTGTGTGTGTGTGTGTGTGTGTGTGTGTGTGTGTTTATTTTCTCACAGAAGAAGAACCCAACACCAGCAGACTCAGTGCTCCAATCCAACAGCCTGAAGAGACACCATCATCAGCTTCAACAGATGTCTGTGAACATGTATGAGCTGCTGGCCCCATGGATCCTGTTGACTGGCCACAGCAGTTGAACAAAATGGAAAGTAGAACTTTCTTTATGATGACACTGATATTTGAGTTTTGCTTTTGATTGCACAGTTTAATGCTGCTTTTGATTTAAACCCCCCCCCCCCCCCCCCCCCCCCCCCCATGACATTTGCACAACATTTTGAGTTGTTGGTTATTCTAAAATTCTCAGGTTACTTATCTTTCAAGCTTACATTTATTCTTCAGGCTGTTGACTTTAAAGAGTTGCTGTGTGAATATTTAAAATAAAAAATTAGTAACTAAGGAATAACTGTGGAGTTGCTTTTTCCAATGTGTGGTGGGTGGGTGATCTTGGGTTTGGGTGAGAGCCGTGCGGGCACGGGGGGGAGGGCGCAAATGGGCAGTCTCGCCTTGGGCACCAAATTACCTAGAGCTGGCCCTGCACTCCAGAAGTCCGTGCGAGCTCACGATTGCCGATCGGTAGCTGGTCACGTGGTGTTAATCGCCTCTCGTAACCCCCTGTACACTACACGACACTCAGCGCTAAACTCGCCCCGATCTTGTGGATTCTCGCACGAGTGGAAAATCGACTCAAAACAGTGAAAAAGTCGCACAGTGTACGCCCGCCTTAAGGCTAAAGCACAGGAGCACTGACAGGAAGAAGAAAGCACTCAAAGGGAGAGAAAAACAGGAAATAAGAGGAGGACTAATAAAAAGTGAAAATAACTCATGTCAGAAGAGGGGGGAGTTTGGCAAATCCAGTTAAAGACAAGACTGTCGAAAATTTAGTGTAAGGGGCCCCATGTCTGTGTTCGCCTTGGGCCCCCAAATTGCTAAATCTGCCCCTGGACGTGTGCTGCTTCCATTTCTACTCTAAACCACTGAAAGAGGCCAATGTGAAAAGCATCAGATGGACAGACAACTTGTGTCCAAAACAGGGTGTCCTGTCAGTGTCTCTAAAAGTTCAACACAGTGCTCCGTTGAGTTGGGCTGTGAATTTAGTTTATTTTTTGTGATCACACACTCAAACCTACTAACATTAAAGAAAAGCCAAAGTAAAAGTAGTTGAACAAGAGTGAAACTACATCATTTGATCAGTTAAAATGAAAACAATTGTTTTGTTTCAGATTTTCGATGAAGGCAGGTCGTGACTCGTGTGTCGATCCGTCCCAGAGGTGGGTGAAGGAGATCATGGAGGTCAAGGAGAACATTCAGGCTGTCACAGCATCTCACTGATCATCAACGTTTTATTCCTGTGGTGGAAAAAAAGATTTCTCTTAAGCTATCCTTTTATACTGAGAATTTATATTTATTATTAATAAATGCAAAACCCCTGAAAATGACTTGTTTTTCAGATTTTCATACTTTACCTTTTTATGTCATAAACAATAAAAAAACAGTCAAATACTAATTAAATAAACTATAATCTTACAACTGGGTACTTATCTCATGTGACTAATCACGTCTCATTTCTGCTCTGACTGGAACCAAATAGTGGCCCATCATCATAGCAGAAACATTAAAATAACTCATATTTATTGAATAAAGAACAATAATAACAAGCTACAAGCCCTGAAGCATGAAACAGAACCAAGGAGAACACCCATACTAGCACAGAAAAGAAAGCACTTGTGTCTTTACTTGATTATTTACCAACAACGCTCCCAGGCTGTAAACAGAAATGGTGCTCTTGTTTAAGAGACTTATCGGCTGTTGCTGGGCAGATTTCTCAGAAGGAAGTGTGTCGTTGGAGCATCCTTAGAGGTGCTGTTAACAAATTTGAATCCTTCCAAATGGGAGTGAAACATGTTTTCATCCACACTTTTCTGGAAAACTTTGTGAGTGTTGTCTTCTGAGTCAGAGTGATGACCAGTGGGGGTGGAACACTACCATCAGCTCACAGCAACACACATGAACACAAACACACTAACACATGAACACAAACACACTAACACATGAACACAAACACACTAACACATGAACACAAACACACTAACACATGAACACAAACACACTAACACATGAACACAAACACGGGATTAGGCTGAAAGTTTCCTTTTGTGAAAAGGGTTTATTGACAGAATAATTTGGGCCTTTAACATTGAGAAACTCAATCACTAAAAAACATAAAAAGTTGTAAAATGTTCCATTCATCCATTCATTTTCAGCCGCTTATCCAGAGTCGGGTTGCGGGGGCAGCAGCCTAACTCGAGAGACCCAGATTTCCCTCTCCCCGGCTACTTGCGCCAGCTGAGAGACAAAATCCCTCCAGCATGTCCTGGGTCTGTCCTTGGGTCTCTTCCCAGTTGGACGTGCCCGGAGAACCTCACCAGGGAGATGTCTAGGAGGTATCCTAACTAGATGCCCAAACCACCTCATATGACTCCTATTGATGTGGAGGAGCAGCGAGTCTACTTCTAGCCCCTATCCGATGACAGAGCTTCTCACCCTGTCTCTAAGGGAGAGCCCAGCCACCCTGCAGAGAAAACTCATTTCGGCCACTTGTATCCGCGGTCTCGTTCTTTCGGTCACTACCCAAAGCTTGAGACCATAGGTGAGGGTAGGAACGTAGATCGACCGGTAAATCGAGAGCTTTGCCTTCCGGCTCAGCTCTCTCTTCACCACGACAGATCGGTACAACGCCCGCATCACTGCAGACACAACACCAGAACGTGATCCCCAGCTTTTGCTGGAGCGGTTCGCAGCCATGGTCTTGAGTGAGAAAAGGGTAGAATTTCTTCTCCAGGTCAGGGATGAGGTCCTGCCCCAAGTGGAGGAGTTTAAGTATCTCAGAGTCTTGTTCCTCAGTGAGGTAAAGATGGAGAGTGAGATCAATAGGCTGCATCTGCAGTGATGCGGATACAAGTTGCTGAAATGAGTTCTCCGCAGAGCGGCTGGGCTTTCCCTCAGAGATTTAAGGAATCTTTACAAGGATGGTTCCTAATGAGAGCCCTCTGGAGGTGTAACCATGTCCCACTGGGAGGAGACCCAGAACTCATTGGAGGGATTAAATATCCTCTCTGGCTTGAGAACGCATTGGGATTCCCCAGGAGGAACTGGGGGTCATCTCTATGGAAACGGGAGGCAGGGCTTCCCTCCTGAACCTGTTTCCTCCACAGCCTAACAGTGGATGAGCAGATGGATGGAACTCTTTCATTTAGCAAAATTCTTTCTCAATTATTTTAAATAATCATGTTAATTCAACAGTTTTAATATTTAATTGAGTAAAATGATTTTACTTTTTGGAGGAATTCAGACATGTTTAATTAGGTTTGATTACAAGTTTTCTCACAAATTTTGCAAACACTTTTTGTGAAATGCTAGGAGCTTCATATATTTTGTACATATTAACTTTCTGTCTGAGATCAAGATATTCTAAAACAAATTACTATATTTAAATCTTTATTCCTTACAAGTTTAGTCAGACTTGCACATCACATCTTATTTTTTCATTCCTGCATTTACTGACTTTATTTGGTGTTGACCTAATGTGTTTTATAATGTTTAAAACATCACCCGATTAACAAATAATTTATTAATAACAGTAAATATTTTTTCATCGTGATTTGTTCCCGATGCAGCTCCTGTTCCACCCATAAGTACATTTAAATCCATGCACCCGGAGGGTGAATGCTTTTGTTTGTGACTCCAACGACGACAGGACAGGCTGGTTTGTGCATGGCTGCTTTATTATATATTATAAAATCCATCCCATCATCATCACCATCATAATATGAGCAGGTGCTGTCCGTGGTACTGAATTACGTATCTATCGTTAGCACATCTCTCTGCAACAACTGGAAATCTTTTGACAAAAACATTTCATAGATCTTGATGTATGAATGAAAAGTAACACCACTGCACATCTTCAGTACTTTTATTTGATTTAAATAACACAAACACATTTTCCAGTGATAAAACTCTGATAATGGATCCTATAAAACTTGATTTCATTACCACCTCCAGAGCAGGCAGCGCTAGCGGTAACGCTGCGGAGTCTTTGGCTTGGTGCTGACAGAGTTCACGACGCGGTAGCTGGTTGAAGGGGACCAAACCTCACTGAAACACCTGACTTGGTTCCGTTTGACCAGCCACAGCAAGGCGTGTTGCTTCAGCTGCAAGAGGCAGAGCAGGGCAGGAGGAGGGGGGAAAGGAGGGGAAAAGGAAAAGGGGGAATAGGAAAGAAACGTGGAGTCCTCTTCGGTATTACCTGATGAAACACACAGAGTAAAATAACATTATTACTGCGTTACCGAGCAGGAAGTTCCTCTTAACTTCCAAATCTCCAGCCCCAGTGACAGCTCTTCATCTCTTAACCCCCTCATCCTTTTTTTAAAGTCCTGCTGCTATAATGGGTGACAGCTGTGGTGTGTCAATCCCTCAACCCCAACCCCCATGCCTCACCCCATCCTGACTGTCAGCAGTTGGGGCAGGGCAGGAACACTAACTGTACACGTGCCTGACGGGAGGGAGAGGGAAGAGGCCTTTCACCTGTTATCCTGCCACACACACACACACACACACACACACACACACACACACACACACACACACACACACACACACACACACACACACACACACACACACACACACACACACACACACACACACACTCATACCCCCCCCCCCCCCCCCCTCCTATTAAAAATATACACTCAGGCTGCAATTATCAATAAAGTTAGATCTTCAAAAACTTCCTAAAACAAAAAATGACATCAGACAGGTGCCGTCGTTCCTCGGCGGTTGATGCCGGCGCCCCTTTGAAACCACACACTTCCTTACATTCCATAAGTGCTGCATTAATATGGGGATATAAGGAAGCATGTCCTCGCAAGGGGCAACAACTGGATCCGCTGCTCCTCTGACACAAGGCGCCCTTTCATGGCTATGGACGAAGAAGAGCGGGAACAACTGGAGAAACAGTGGTGAGCTGTGACGGGGTGGGGGGGTGGGGGGTGAATAAAATTTGGAAACAAAAATATGTATTTTTTGCTAATTCCTCCCACTTGATTAAGGAGCAGTTATGAAAATAAAAGGTTTAACATCGTGACATTTTTCATTTTACCTCAACCTTTATGAAGCCAAACTGGCTTTGCTGTGTGTGAGAAACGCTTGAATCTGTGTGATTCTTTAGTTTGATCTGCTCTAAATGATTTGTTCTGCTTTGTTTTTGTGTTAAAAGTAAACGTGAGTCACCTGAGCTCAGATGGAAACTCATCTAAACGAGTGTTTTCATCCAGAACTTCCTGATTCTTTCCTGTGTCGCGCCTCAGTTTCCCCTCAGCTGACGGAGGTGTCAGACTTTCTCAAGTGTTGTTTTTGTGAGACATCTGAAGCAAAACAAGCAAGGTCTGGCCCGGCGTCTCATTTGACTTCAAGTTAGGAACAGTAAGAAAGCACCAAACTTGAAATCCACAACTGATGCTGGAAGATATTTTACCCGACGGAGAGTTTGGGCTTCAACATGAAAAGTCTGATCACAACATGACAAGATAGAAAATTCAGACCAACCTTGGTGCCGTCTGTCCTTTCAACTCAAAGTAAAAATTCAAATAAAATAAAAATGAAACATTCTCAGCTTCAGCTTTTCTGCGACCGGCTTTTCTCCTCGGATTCTGGCCAGTGGATAATGACCACTCCAGGCCTGGTGGACCGGCCTTTTCTAGCCCCATCAGGAATGGGGCCCCCCTCTGCCAGGCCTCCCACCTGTTGGTGTCCTTTAGAAGCCCCGGGCCTCTTCTGCACCTCCTGTCTGGTCCAATCAGGGCCCTGACAAAGTTGGGGGGGAGGGGGGGGGGGTCAGCCTGCCTGAAATCACACCTCTCAGCTGTTCGCACTGGGCATGACACAGCCCCCCACCCCCACCCATCCCGCCTCACCCTGCTTCTAGTCTATGGAGAATGTCAATGGCTCCCCTTTGAAAAGGGGGGAGGAAGCAACTGTATGGTGGGTGTGTTTTACTGGGTTCAGGGGCAGAGCCGCAGGCTGACGATCACAGCTGAAGACAAGGTTGAGTTTCATCCCAAATTATTCCATCTTTCAGTTTCAACATAAATCAGGGAAATTGGCTCATTTATTGTTTTTGAAAGCTGCTTTAACAAAAACAGCTGCTTTATGACGATATAATGTACCTAAGAAAGAAAAATGACAACGTAAGCCCTACAGAGTCCAATCAGAGTCCGAACATTAAAGAAAAATAAAACTATTCTTTGTTTAAAAATCTTTTATCTTTTCCTCAAACGTTCGCTTTGCAGCGTCTGAAAGCTCCGAAGTGCCTCCACGACCACATGCGTCCAATAATTACCGATGCTGTGTGGCAAACGGTCCGAGCTCAGGGGCTCATGTTCCTCTGCAGCAAGCACAAGCCGCTCCGCTAAGGTCAACACCTGTGATCTAAAATCAGCTCCGGGGTTGGGTGCGATCGGAACCCGGGCCTCATTCACAGAAAGCTGGAGCTCAGAGAGGAGCTTATATTGAAACCTAACCCTCCTGCTATTTTCGATGCACTCGTCCTCCACAAATAGCACCTCCATTGGGTCTTTGGAGCTCCCGATATTCCTGTTTTTTTTTTTGTCTCCCTCACAGGATGTTGTCTAATTTCAACAGTTGTTCAGTGTTTCCGAAGCCACGAGCCAGAAGTGCATCACAAATGCAACATTTCCACTAATGCCAGCAATTTGTTGAGGCCTCACTGGTTATATCTGGGCCCTGGGAATATCGGGTGACTTCTGTTGTGGATTAGATTCTTGTTCGTTGGTAAAATCACCGATCACAGTCCTGTTGTTGATTTTATCGAGACAGCTGATCTCTATTAATGCGAGCTCCCTTCTTATCATCTGTCTCTCTTTCATCATGTGTCATACATCATCTTTTGAAGGTTTGGGGATCATTTGCAGACCTTAACCCCCAATGTTAAGTACAGAAAAAGAGATGGATGAGGTGTAGCATGGTTACAAAAGCTTTCTAAACTACAGTATATACTATTGCACTTTGAGAAATCTAATTTTTGAAAAAATATAGTTTAAAGCGACACTGAATAAGTTTCCCGCTTCTTTCTCCTATGGTTGAAAGCAGAATATTACCATGCTGCAGCCTGCTGTAGCTAGCGCTAACAATGAGCTAATGCTAACATGAGCCAACTGATTCTAAATATGCCACAAAGTAAACACGATCCACACTGATGGAAAAAAATATTATTACTTAGAACTACAGTAGCAACAAAGCCAGGTCACCATCAGTCTGTGATTTCATTACCTACTTTAGCTCCCTGCAGCTAGCATCTCTCCAATGTTTCCTCCAAAGAAATGTCTTTGTTAAAAATTAATGAATATTTAACTTTTATTTCCAGGCCCTGCCATGATGCCAAAAAAAAAAAGCGAAACGCTTGTTCTTCCTACTTCTTGTGCTTTTTATTGATTGTCGGTGAACTAAAAGAGCTAAATGCTAGCCTTTTATATTAGCTATTGGAAGAGTAAATTGCTACTGCTGTAAAGCAGGTAGTGACCTCCCACAACTGTTAAAATTGTTAATTGTAATTTCTGTAATGTAATGTGGCTCAAGTTTGTTGTTCAAGAACCACTGAAACCGGTTAGATAAATAGCGTTAAAGTGTTAAAGGTGTGGTTGACTGAATTATGACTGTGACTGATTAGTCACTCTGAATTTTTTATGCAGGGTGACCATGAAAAATAGTCTCCTACACTTATCTCATTAGCTTCTGATAGAAAATAGACGGTGAAATGCTATGATTTGAAAATTCTCACTATCACCTAACATTCATGGACTCACCAATCTTGACTCACAACTGGCAAGGCTGTTGTTGCTTTAATGTCTGGTAATTAGCAGTGGACATCATGGCTAGTTTAAGCTAACCGTTAGCGTTAGCGACTTTTCTTCACTGCAGAAGTATATTGAACCAACAAACGCTTTACCCTAGAATCTGAGAAAGACATCACAGCAGTTCAGCTGTAAGCAACACATTCAAATATACTTTATTAATCCCAGAGGGAAATTAGAGAATATAATTGGGTCATAGAGGTTATTTTTAACCTGTGTTCACATACGGCCCTCCCATTTGCTAATCACTTTGTCCCCCCTCCCGTCAGACCTACTTGCCTTGTGTTACTGGTGTCCGGCTGCTTCTGAAGAGGTCACAACACACTTTTCTTGTCCTGAGGAAACAATGTCTCTCAGGACAGCAGGTAGGAGCTGGACCAACTCACAACAAAGAGGTTTCTTCATCTGTGGATTGTGAGGAATTAGACCGGCAGCTGCCAACAGACCAAGGCTCAGGATGGGACCACCTGCAGGAGATGCAGCCCACTTAATGAGAAGGAGAAGATTCTGCTGGATTCTGAATTCACATTCATATTCACCATTAAGTGAGAAAATAAATAAACCTGCAAAAAGAAAATAAATACGACTTATTCAATTGGACGACTCAACCAAAAGTAAAAGTTCAGAGCTGAATCCTGCAGAGATGCTGCTGACCCCTTCTGCGCGCTGATTCTCATGCCACACTCTGCCCACCGCTTGGCACACCGGTCGCCAGGGCTGGGGTTGACACAGCTGTTGAAAGCAAAGCGGTCCCGTGTGGTGAAGCAATGAAGCAGAAAGGTCAAAGGTCAGCAGCATTCAGGCGATTTGATGGAACAGGTGATGGAGAGGTGAGGCGGACTTCATGCGGCTCACAGACAAAGGGCTCAAAGTCAGGTCTGCACTTGGATAGCTTACTGACCTAAGTACATATGTACATCGGTCCAAGGGGGGCTTTTTAACTTCAAATAAAAAAATATAGAAGAGAAACAGATGTAAACAAGGGCAAATGACAAAGAAAAATAAGTCAAATGTCTAATTGCAGTTCAATTATGGTGACAAAATTCTTTTTAATCACACAGGAGAAGCACAGCGGGACAGAAACTGACAAAACAATCAGAATGAGACCTGAAACCATTTAAGCACAGTAACAAATATCGATAAAATGATGTGTTACAACCTATTTATGATTAAAATGATCAGAAACAGAGTGGGTACTGCAAAAAAAAAAAAAAAAAGAAATATAAAAAGGATGGAAAGTCATGAAAATATGTGGAAAAGGTGGCACAATATGACAAAAACAACACATAAAACTATAAAACTATCAATAAATGTGGCACAGAATAAAAACGTGAAGCTTGGACGATTAAAGAGATTATATTACTGTAATTCAAGATGCTAAATGATCACATAAAAACACTGAAATGTTAAACGCAGCTCATCACATTAGATATTAAATAAATCACTTATGAAGATTAAGAAAATTCAACAACCTACCCACACACAAAAATGACAACAAAACACATTCAACATGATGAGAAATCAGCAGAACAAGATATGAAATGACTGAAAAATTATCACCAATGTGCCTACTACTACTGTATATACGTATTAGATGTGCTGAAAAACATCGATTCAAGTCTGAATCTGGATTCTTATTTATAAAGATTCAGAATCGATTCACAAAGGTTCAGAATCTATTCCAAGAACTCAAATATTTGGCATGTTACAGGTTTGAGATGCACTTTCTCTGTTTTTTATCTTCGCTAGGAGAGTCAGTACTCCGTTTACTTTTGTGGTCCCATAAATTGAGATGATTTATGTTTGAATCTGCTGATAAGAGGGCACTTGAATGTAATTTTTTTCCACACTCATTAATTTGAGATATTCTTATATTTATTTTCTAAGTTGATGAGTGAGTACTCAGGATTACTCATGTGTTTATTTTCTAAGTTGATAAATGAGTACTCAGGATTACTCAGGTGTTTATTTGAAGTTATTGAGAACTGAGAGAACACATTTTCCTTTGTAAGAAATCTGAGGCACTTTTTTTAAACAGGTTGAGGACTCAAATGTTAAACTTGTTTCTACACATATTTGAAAAGTATTTGACCATATTACTTTCAAAGCTAATGTTAGGTAACTAAAGATTTGTTATATTTTACAAGGTAAGCAAAAATAAATGTTGCCTTTTGGTCAAAAGATTGTTTCTGTTTACAGTTTTAGAATCAATTTATTTTACCTTGTAAATTTGCATTTTTGAGCATGACCAGTTTAAAGTCAAATAAAAATGTCCCATAGCTTTAACTAACTTGTACAACAAAGTAATTAATCCTGGAGTGGACACTCTATGTTAATATTGATTGTGAATCGATTTAAATCGAGAATAGAGAATCGATTCTGAATCGAATCGGCAACCCGAGAATCGGAATCGAATCAAATTGTGAGTTGCTCTAAGATTCACATCCCTAGCACATATGATGTATTTATGATTTACCCCTCAGTATTTATTATGACTGCTCACTTAAACGATGCCATTGGACCACTTTCTGAATGTCAGAGAACCCCACAGTGACAAATACCTCGTGCAGTGACCAGAATCTCACATTTGTGTCTTATTGATGTTTATTTATTTATTTATTTATTTATAATTTCCTTGTCAACAAACTCTTTGTTAAGGTCACTGGACTTTTATGTGGCAACCGTCTCGGGACTACAGATGGAAATTAGCCCTAGGCTACAATCTGGCATGTTTACATTCATGCTATCCCCACATGTATGTTCATTAACATGCACTGTCCCAAATAAAATATTAATTAATTAATTCATTCATTCATTCATTTGTTCATTCGTTCATCCATCTATTCATTCATTCATTCATTCATTCATTCATCCATCCATTCATTCATTCATTCATTCAAAAAATGCAAGAAAGATCAAAGAAACATTTTAAAAGTGATATATCTTCCATGTGCACATCGTGAAACCAGTAAAGAAGAACAAAAAAAGTCTAAACACATGTTTAACCTCTGATTGCAACATTTACAAGGATGACTTTTAATCAGGCAGCTTCTGTGTGTCACTGGAGCCCAAAGCGGTGAACAGGAAACACATCAGAGATTTTTCTCACCGGCTCAACAATTAGGACAGAAAAGGCTCTGACTGTTACACTCGGGTCTGTGTGGTGATAAATGAGTCTTTAGTAAAGGTCAGAGGTCACCGAGGACATGTTTGAATTCTGAAACTCTGGAAGGTTTAGTTAAAACAGCTTTTGATTAAAATTTTAAAGATGTTTATTTTTAGGCTATAACTTTGATTATATCTTTATATTTTCATTAACCCTGAGCTGTAATGCTTTTTAGATAAGTAACCTACTTTGACTAATCTAAATTTCATAACAGCAAACACAGATTCCCCAATCTGAAGACTACAAAATAATCCTCTCTGAGACATTAGAAAGTATTTAGAATATCAAAATACCAATACCAATAAAAAAAAAACAACACTTCAAAAAACATTGCAAACAAAAACCTTTTAACAAAAAATATATATAAATAAACTTACATCAAAATTCTAAATTTGTCCATTAAAAGTTGAACTAAAATTTAAACCAAATTATATTTCTACGTTTTTTTTTGAGTCAAAACGTATAATAGACCTTGACATCGGCCAATGAAGAGAGGTCTTTCATCACCCACAACAAGGCCCCGCCCACAAAACTGGTTTTCATTAATCAACAAAACATAAATAAATAAAAGAACAAAAACAAAGGTTTTATGAGCAAAAACTGATAATGTGCAAACAAAATTTCCTCCCTTCATTTTTTTTCTCAAACAAAACTTTTGGTTTTAATTTTAATAAAAAAAAATTTTAATGGTTGTTTCATTTTGTTTTTTGCACATTTAAAAAATTTGGTTTCAATTTAAAAAACGTTTTTATTGATTAATAAAGAAACAATGTAACCTCCATTTAATGAGTTTTAATTAAAGTATGCATGGTGGTCAAAATTCTTAAAAAGATGAAAAAGGGAGAAATTTTATGGCAAAATACAAACAAAAATGAACTGGACTTCTATGCATATGGACACCGTCGTGTAAGTCACAATGTCAGGTTCCCTACATACATCTCTAACAATTAAGGTTCTAATTTAAAAGTTAATTTCAGTCAAATGTGTAATAAATACCACCTTCTTTTAAAACGATCTAAAACAAAATGCATGAAAAGCACATGTGGGGGGAAATAAAACACTTATTCTTATTTTTCTTTAATTTTTTGCAAATACGAAAAGTCAGTCAAGTCCAGGACCCGAAATGTAAAATAAACCTGGATCATTTCACACAAACTCCTGCTCAGTGGATCCTGGTGAACAAATGAACAGATTTGGGGCTTGTGAGTCATGAAGGCAGTTGTCTGACCACCAATAAAAGCCAGCGACAACTGCAGCAGCTCCAACAGCAGCAGCGGCGCAGAGGTGAAACAGAGACGGGCTTCATGGTGACCAGAAGGCAGAAAATGAACCAGCTGAAGGCTAAACCAATCATTTCTGTCCAGCTGCTCCAACAAGGAGTAGCTAACAGAGTCATCTATAAGTTTAAACCATAAAGAAACAGCTCTGAAAGGTGTGGAACACTGAAAAATCATTAAAAAAAAATTATTCTGAAAAAAATTGGTCACTCTGAGTTTTTTATGCAGGCTGAACAGAAAATAGTCTCCTACACCTATCTCCTGCCTTAGCTTCTGATACAAAATAGATGGTGAAACGCTAGGATTAGAAAAGCCTGACAGAATGACATCACACTGACACTGAACATTCATGGACTCGCCCATCTTGACTTACGACAGGGAAGGCTGTTGGTGGTTCAGCGTCCAAGAAACAGCAGAGAACGTCTTGGCTAGTATAAGCTAACATTAAAATGAGCAACTCCACCACACAGCAGAACTTCTCCAGGCTTGTGTTATTTGTGGAGATAACAAATCCTCATTGCAAAACAGAGTCAGTGGTAGAGCCACGTTGTTGTTATCCAATCAGTGTTGAGATGTCCAAATATCAGGAAACACAATCCTGAATTCTGTCATCTGAAGCTAAACTCTGACGTGGGTAACTTCTAGTTCCTGTAACTGACACACCAGAGCTTTGTTTCCTCAGAAAATGACTTTCAAGGCATTCATTCCTTCTGGTGATCACTGGTGAAATTCTACTTTAACGTTTTTATGACGTCTCATATAACCTGGAAAATATTGCTGTGTATTATTTAGGTAGAAGATAAAGTATGTCTGATGTCACTTCCTGTTTGAAGCTCCCTAAAAACAAATTAATACATATTTTTTTTAATCTAATGATCAGTGAAAGTTTCTAATCTCATTTGTCCAGTAATCGGAAGGTTGCAGGATCGATCCCGGCTCCAGACAGAGAATTCTGCTGTTGTGTCCTTGGGCAAGACACTTAACCCACCTTGCCTGCTGGTGGTGGTCGGAGGGACCGGTGGCGCCTGTGCTTGGCAGCCTCGCCTCTGTCAGTGCGCCCCAGGGCAGCTGTAGCTCATCACCATCAGTGTGTGAATGTGTGTGTGAATGGGTGAATGATACACTGTAGTGTAAAGCGCTTTGGAGTCCTTACTCTGAGAGGCGCTATACAAGTGTGGGTCATTTATCATTTACATTATGGAGCCATACAAATTTTCAAATGAGAATCTGATCTACTTTTATTATTTCTCTGCTGCCAAAGCATGATTTTCACAACTTATTTGATTTAAACAGGCAAAACAATCATATTGTTTAACAAATATAAGTAGACAGAAGTGTCCTCTTTAACCCTGCCATCACCCCCCCCCCCCCCCCCCCCCCCCTCCCTGAAGGTAACAGCTGTGGTTTCGCCCCAAAGTCACATGACACAGGGCAGGTGGGAGAGACCTATACAGGACATCCACCCTTCCATCACACACACACACACACACGCACACACACACACACACACACACACACACACACACACACACACACACACACACACGCACGCACGCACGCACACACACACACACACACAGTTGCAGCCTCTGCAGGTCAAGGGTGTGGTCATTTTGCGTTTCAGGAATGTGTAACACACACCAAATGTCTGATCTCTGCCTCAGCAGCAAACGGATTATTCTCAGGAAGATTTTCATTTCAACAGAAGATAATTCTGTGACCTTCACGTTAGACAACTCAAGTCTGGTACGGCATTTTGGAAAAGAACGTACTCTCTCTGCGCTCTAGCCCAAATATTACATTATATTCACATGATATTTTCCAGCAAAAGACGTAATGTCACCTTAAGATACCTCAAGCTGGCTAACCACACATAGCCACACACTTATCTCTGGTGTACAGACAGCAGATTACGTCTGGTTCTGGTTGACAACAGGTGTAAGAAACCAAATCGTCCTACTGATGTGAAGTCCGCCCCAAAGTGTTTGTTCTGATAGAGATCTTGTGTTAGAGCAGCTGTAAAGCTAGTACCTGTGATGCTTTATTACATCTTTACACATTATTTCAGTGCTCCAGTAGTGATTACATAATTAATTCAATTTCAGTTTCAGATAATTTTAATAAAGTACTTTAACCCGCAGAAGGACTAAGGAAAACAAGGTCTGAGCATTCTTTGGTGAAGTCTAAAAAAGTAGCTTGTTCAAATGAAAAATATAGAGAAAGGGTTTAATGTGATCATCAAAGAAAAATATCAGGCATATAAAAATGCATCAGTATTGTTGGATTACATGTTTCATAAATCTGTATGTACTTTCTGGCATGAGAAATGTATTTTCAATAGTAACTATTAATTAGAATAGTAGCTTATTTTAAATAATTGATGAGTAGAAAATAATATTTACTTTGCAATTTAATATTAAAAATAGGGTTAAAGACTTTGTTTTTCTAATGACAGTAAGTATAAGAATTTGTTATTAAAAATATTAAATTATTATTGTTTTTCCCATCTATAGAGAAAAAAAGTAGTGTACCAAAATTTATGTTCTGTTCCAAAAATGAAGTTGATTTCATGTACCCCTTACAATCTGAGTCTGTAACCTATTGTTTTAATGCTGTTTGTTATTTACTATGATTTCAAACTTCTAAATAAATACTGTATTGTATTGTATTCCATACAGAATGTTGTGCCATTTGCAATATTTTAATAAAGTCGTTTAAAAATATATTTCCATTATTATTATTATTATTAGGAGTACTAGTAAAAGTAATAGGAGTAATAACGTTATTATTATTATTATTATTATTATTATTGTTATTATTATTATTATTATTATTATTATTATTAATAGAGCTATTAATTCTATTGTCCTCACATAGGAACGAACTTTACAGGTTCCGTTTCTCGGGGACGATTTTGACAAACGGACAAATCAGGAAATGGAATCGTTCAGCTAGCTTAAAGTTGTTTCATTACATTTATCGCTTAAAATGCAAACTGCTATTGATGACTACTGCATTGGAGTTTTATCAAGAGCTTCTGCAACGTTTTCTTTTACGTAAAAGTGGAAATTTAAACTGGTGCAGCGGCGTTTTAGCTTTTGCTACACCCTGAAAAACTAAAAAAAGGTCGGTATCAAAATGTATAATCTGTTATGATTTTTGTACGGTTATAAACTTTATTTCCCGTGTATATTAGCGGTAAAACGTGTCCAAAATGCTGCTACACCAGGTGTAGGTACATCTTAGGTGTTTATTAAAATAACCGAATGATTTCAAAGATATATTTTGGTCTTTTTCATTAAAATATCCAGCAGATGTTCGAACATTTGCTTTAATTTACTTCATAACTCGTGTGTATTCATTAGATCATGTTACTGACGACCACTCGCCTGTCTAAAGTGCTGCAGCTCACCCTAGCGGTCATCAAACCAGATGCTGTGGCTCATCCCTTAATGTCAGAGGTAAACAAGTCTGTCTGTCCCAAAACACATGAAATGCTCTTTAATGACATAAAATCATCAGTCTTTTACTTCAAAGGGAATTTGATGTTACTTTTATATTTCTGCAGAGTATTAAAATTTTACAGCTAGTGATTTTCTCCATTTAATGGATATCTTCCAACACGCAGATGGTAGAAAAATGCACAGATGTTGTGTTTCTTCTTTTTTTATTTCAGGCTCTTCATCAGATAATTCTGGAAAACAAATTTGTGATTGTGAGAAACAAAGAGCTGGCGTGGAGACCACAGGACTCCGAGAAGTTTTACGCTGAACACTCAGGTGTGGACAAAAGTCACGTGATCAGATGGGACTTTAAAAGTTTCTGCTTGAGATCAAAGAAAGAAGCAGCTTTTTAGAGCAGGAATATCACATGCAATGTCTCTTATGAAGTAAATATGTATACTTTGGAACAACTTACATAAATTCACTCAAGTTAAAAGAATAATGTTTGAGATTTGCTTCATTTTGAATTTCCTCTGTCTACAGAGCGATTCTTCTATCAACGACTAGTTGAGTTCATGTCCAGGTTAGCCTCCATAATAATTTTTTTGCATTCTGAGGATTTCCTCACAAGAATGATATAAAACATCACAAAGTAGTTGTAAAATACTGTTAAGTGTTTAATTAGTCCACTATAGCTGACACAGATCAGCTCTTTTTGGTGTTTTAATTTCATTCTGAGGAAGACTCTGGTCATTTTCTGGAACTTGTCATCACACTCACCCCTTCAGCACAACATCCCAGCAGCGATCGTCTACAAACATCTGGATGATTCCTCCTCTGGCCGCGAGCTCACGCTGGGGTGGAAAAAGTGCATGTAATTATGCTGTCACTATTCTTGGGTGGCAGTGGTGAAATGGTTGCCATGGCAACCATTCAAACGGGAAGCTGTTACTGAGAACACACTAAGAAAACATCGTCATCGAGTGAGACTTTTAGATGAATAATATGAGCTTCATCTGAAGGGTGTTTTCATTATATTTGGTGTGAAGAAATCAGATCAATTTTAGCCTTTTATGCCTTTTCTGAAAGCAGGTTTTCTTTTCCTTTTTCCTTCTAGTGGTCCCATGCGAGCGTATATCTTAGCCAAGGAGGACGGGATACGTCACTGGAGGGACCTGATGGGACCCACTAAAGTGTTTCGAGCCAGATACACGTCCCCCACCTCCCTCAGGGCCCAGTTTGGGCTCACAGACACTAGAAACACAACTCATGGCTCAGGTAGCAAACTTTCCAAACCTTTATCTTAAATGTTTTAAAAAATGATGTTTAATCCAAATTTAAAATGAGGAATGTTAGATGGAGCCTAAAGGTGGTCTGGTGGGTTCATCCTGATTCCTAGGGCCTTGCAGAAACTACTTTCTCAGAAATCACACATTGTCTTTTTTCAGTGTCGTTTTCATTTTTGAATTAATATATTACTTAAAGTTAGAGCTTCTTTTCTTTCAAAGTTTGGCATTTTTCACATTGTAAGCCTTTAAAATCTGTGATGTGTTCTTCAGATTCTCCAGAGTCAGCTCGAAGAGAAATCTGTTTCTTCTTCCCAGATTTCCACGTAGAAGAGTGGATGGATAAAGACGAGCCATTATTCCGATCGGGACGGATACTCTACGACCTCCAAAAACAGATCCACACAGTGTCGGCACCCAGCTGACCCCAGACCAGCTTAGAGCGGGTTTAAAGTCTGTCATGAATACACTCTGTCTTGTTTCAGTTGCTTTTGTATTAAAAGTATGGAATTTATTTAGTGTTTTTATTATTTAGTCAAAAATTGTGCTTCAAACTAAAAAAATTAAGTTTTGAGAGCATGACGATGCAAGAAACAAAATTTCTATTTTTCAAAATAAAATACTTTTTCATTCAGACAAATTTTTTTTTCTTTTTATAATTTTTTTTAATAAACAAAATTCTGATTAGATTTAAAATTCAACCTTTAAAAATGTTTTTGAGGTTATTTTTGTTGCTTGTTTACTTTTTTATTGTTTACAATTTTTCAAAAAAACATTTTCAACTTTGATTTTCTGTTTGAAATATTTTTCCAGTGTTTAAGAACAACAAAATAAATTCCATATAAAAGCTCTTTAATCTTTTAACCATATGCAATCATTTCAAACAGAAACCTCAAATGTTATAATTTATTAAAAAAAAACAACTGACATGAAAAAAAGAACACTGGATTGTTCGAAGCAACACGATGCAGTAAACGGACTCCCCTCCTCATCACACTCCTGAAGCTAAATTCTTCACTTCCTGTTTTAGAGCCATTCAGATTGTAAGACCACAAACCTGTCTTGTGTCAACACCAAACAGTAAGACAGAAATATTCACATCTGTTAGATTTTCCACTGCAAATAATACTAACATGACGTATTTATGAGATTAAAGTGTTTTTTCACAGTAATTAATAAACATCCTGTTTGCTGCAAAGACAGTACGAGTTTCTTTTTTCATCAAATAAAAAACAAGAAATTACATTGTTTGTACTTCCCTTTTTAACCCATTTGTTTAGACGTCTGACTCTATCGTGTCAAATACATAAAACACACATCAAACTGAAAAGATCTTTGTTTCTCGTTAAACCTGATTCCTGGTCACCCATCAGTCACTGGATCGTAAATACCTCACGAGTAGTAGATTAATTCCTCTCTGGTCTTTTTCCAGTCTCAGGTGTTTTGAGTGTCCACCTGTTTAATCGTCTCCACAGGTTTCATAACCTCATAGGTTGTGAGGGACTTCTTAACCTTTCCATTCTTGTCCACCTGGTGGATGCTCTGGGTAACTGTGATGGTCACCTGCTTGGTGGACTTCCTGTTGTCCTGCCATTTTGTCTATTAATGGAAAAAGAAATACCAACAATAAACACTGGACTTGTGGTAGAACTAAAGACGCAAGACACAAGAACAGGAGCAATGGAAGGAATGTCTAAAAAGCACATATTTAAAGCAGAAATATGACTGTTTGTCTCAGGGCACCATCTAGAGGCAGAAAAATGTATTACACCCTTAGGTCTGTCTAGCCGCTTCCGTAATGAAGGCTGGAAGCATCGTCTCTGAGAATGCGTACCTCTCGTTGGGAAGACTTGTCCACTTCACCAACTCGGCATCACTCTACATTAGCAATGTCACATGCTCACTCTAACTGACATCTGTATAGAAACGGAGATCTAATGCTATTGGCTAATGCTGAGCGGCACTCAATTCAAACTGCATGGGGCTCCACAGGTGGGGGTGGGCTTAGCAAAATAATTTACGTATTGCCTACTATATATCACAGTAAGACAATCACTTTTATGGATTTCTAAAGTATAATGCATTATTATATGCAAATTGGTCTTGGGTGAAGGGTGAGACAAAGAACGGTTCGAAGGATCTTTCATGGCGGTTAAAACGAAGAGTCGGAGTACCCGGCCCGGAGGGTTACCGGGGTCCCACCCTGGAGCCAGGCCTGGGGTTGGGGCCCGTGAGCGAGTGCCTGGTGGCCGGGCTTTCGCCCATGGGGCCCGGCCGGGCCCAGCCCGAACCGGATACATGGGCTCGTCCAACTGTGGACCCACCACCCGCAGGAGGAACATGAAGGGTCCGGTGCAATGCGAATCGGGTGGCAGACCAAGGCGGGAGCCTTGGCGGTCCAATCCCCGGACAAGAAAACTAGTTTTTGGGACATGGAACGTCACCTCGCTGGCGGGGAAGGAGCCGGAGCTTGTGGCAGAGGTTGAGCGGTACCGGCTAGATATAGTCGGACTCACCTCGACACATTGCATTGGCTCTGGAACCTGAGACCTGGAGAGGGGTTGGACACTCTACTTTGCTGGAGTTGCTCCGGGTGAGAGGCGGAGGGCTGGGGTTGGCTTTTTGTTAGCCCCGAGACTCTCTGCCTGTGTGTTGGGGTTTACCCCGGGGGACAAGAGGGTAGCTTCCTTGCGCCTTCGGGTCGGGGAACGGGTCCTGACTGTTGTTTGTGCTTATGGGCCAAATATCAGTTCAGAGTACCCACCCTTTTTGGAGTCCCTGGGACGAGTGCTAGATAGTGCTCCATCAGGGGACTCCATTGTCCTGCTGGGGGACTTCAATGCTCACGTGGGCAATGACAGCTTGACCTGGAGGGGTGTGATTGGGAGGAACGGCCCACCTAATCAGAACTCGAGCGGTGTTTTGTTATTGGACTTCTGTGCAAGCCGCAGTTTGGCCATAACGAACACCATGTTCGAACATAAGGATGCCCACCGGTACACTTGGTACCAGGGCAGCCTAGGTCACAGGTCGATGATAGATTTTGTAGTCGTATCATCTGACCTGCGGCCGTATGTTTTGGACACCCGAGTGAAGAGAGGGGCGGAGCTGTCAACTGATCACCACCTGGTGGTGAGTTGGATCAGATGGCAAGGGAACATGCCGCGTAGACCTGGCAGACCCAAACGCATAGTGAGGGTCTGCTGGGAACGCCTGGCAGAAGAACCTGTCAAGACGGTCTTCAACTCCCACCTCCGGCAGAGCTTTGACCACGTCCCGAGAGCAGTGGGGGACATTGAGTCCGAGTGGGCCTTGTTCCACTCTGCGATTGTCGAGGCGGCTGTTGCTAGCTGTGGTCGTAAGGTGGCCGGTGCCAGTCGTGGTGGCAACCCCCGTACCCGCTGGTGGACACCAGAGGTTCGGGGAGCCGTCAGGCTGAAGAAGGAGGCCTACAGGGCGTGGCTGGTCTGTGGGTCTCCGGAGGCAGCAGACAGGTACCGGATAGCCAAGCGGGGTGCAGCAGTGGCAGTTGCCGAGGCAAAATCTCGGGCGTGGGAGGAGTTTGGTGAGGCCATGGAGAAAGACTATCGATCGGCTCCAAAGAGGTTCGGGCAAACTGTCCGGCGCCTCAGGAGAGGAAGGCAGCAACTCGCTCACACTGTTTACAGTGGGGATGGGGAGCTGCTGACGTCAACTGAGGCTATAGTCGGACGGTGGAAGGAATACTTTGAGGAGCTCCTCAATCCCACCAATGCGCATTCCGAGGAGGAACCAGAGCTGGGAGGCCTGGGGATGGACTGTCCGATCTCGGGGGCAGAAGTTGCTGAGGTAGTCAAACAACTACACAGCGGCGGAGCCCCGGGGGCGGATGAGGTTCGTCCTGGGTATCTCAAGGCTATGGATGTTGTAGGGCTGTCATGGTTGACACGTCTCTACAACATTGCGTGGTCATCGGGGGCAGTTCCTAGGGAGTGGCAGACCTGGGTGGTGGTTCCCATCTTTAAGAAGGGTGACCTGAGGGTGTGTTCCAGCTATAGGGGGATCACACTCCTCAGCCTCCCTGGAAAGGTCTACTCCAAGGTACTGGAGAGGAGGGTCCGATCGATAGTTGAATCTCAGATAGAGGAGGAGCAATGTGGTTTTCGTCCTGGCCGTGGAACTGTGGACCAGCTCTATACCCTTGCAAGGGTGATGGAGGGGGCATGGGAGTTTGCCCAACCAATCCACATGTGCTTTGTGGATTTGGAGAAGGCTTATGACCGTGTCCCCAGGGGCACCCTGTGGGGGACGCTCCAGGAGTATAGGGTGGGTGGCTTTCTGTTAAGGGCCATTCAGTCCCTTTACCAGAGGAGCGTGAGTTTGGTCCGCATAGCCGGTAGTAAATCGGACCTGTTCCCAGTGAGGGTTGGACTCCGCCAGGGCTGCCCTTTGTCACCGGTTCTGTTCATCACTTTTATGGACAAAATTTCTAGACGCAGCCGTGGTGTGGAGTGTGTCGAGTTCGGTGGCAGGAGAATCTCGTCTCTGCTTTTTGCGGATGATGTGGTCCTCCTAGCTTCATCCAGCTCTGACCTTCAGCTCTTGCTGGGTAGGTTTGCGGCCGAATGTGAAGCGGCGGGGATGAGGATCAGCACCTCCAAATCTGAGACCATGGTTCTCGACCGGAAAAGGGTGGCTTGCCACCTCCGGGTCGGGGGAGAGGTCCTACCTCAAGTGGAGGAGTTTAAGTATCTCGGGGTCTTGTTCACGAGTGAGGGTAGGAGGGATCGGGAGATCGACAGGCGGATTGGTTCGGCATCTGCAGTGATGCGGACGCTGAGCCGATCTGTCGTGGGGAAGAGGGAGCTGAGCCAGAAAGCCAGGCTCTCGATTTACCGGTCGATCTACGTCCCAATCCTCACCTATGGTCATGAGCTTTGGGTAATGACCGAAAGAACGAGATCGCGGATACAAGCGACCGAAATGAGTTTCCTCCGTAGGGTGGCCGGGCTCAGCCTTAGAGATAGGGTGAGGAGCTCGGACATTCGGGAGGGACTCGGAGTAGAACCGCTGCTCCTCCGGATCGAAAGGAGCCAGTTGAGGTGGTTTGGGCATCTGGTCAGGATGCCTCCTGGACGCCTCCCCGGGGAGGTGTTTCGGGCATGTCCTGCCGGCAGAAGGCCCCCGGGTCGACCCAGGACACGTTGGAGAGGTTACATCTCCAATCTGGTCCGGGAACGCCTTGGGGTCCTGCCGGAGGAGCTGGTGGACAAGGCCCGGGAGAGGACGGCCTGGAGCTCCCTAGTTGGGATGCTGCCCCCGCGACCCGGACCCGGATAAGCGGAGGAAGACGAAGACGATAATGCATTATTCCTGAAGAAGGTAAAACTCTGGATTGCTGCTTTAAAAGTGCAACTTGTTAGACTGACATCTTGTGGTCAAATGTGCTTACTGCAGTCTATTTTTAAAGCTAAAATATCACTCTCTCACTCCTGTTCCGTGAGTTTCATGGCTGTTGCCAGTTACAGATTAGTGCCGGAACATTCTTGGTGACAAGCAAGGACAAGTGATACACAAGAAGTTGATAATTAGATTGGGTGTTTTACGGTAGGGAGCACTTACTACACTTTTTACTGTAGTTTGTTTTCCGGCATTATAGGAAGTGTGGTTTTTTGCCGTCTTGCTGTTATAGTTCAGAATGACTCTTGAACTCATTTACTGCCATTGACGGCAAAAGTCGTCTTAAATCCAACCGCTTGTCGACAAAAGCCATCGATTGCATTTTTTTTACAGGACGGGCACTGGAATATGGATTATGGATTCATCTTCAAAAGTAGGTAAGATTTCTGTCATGCAGCAAAGGGAGAGGTGCACTCGATTGACATGCTAGCACAGAGAAGCACAGGAGCTTTCCATTTTCCATGAAGCCACATCTCCTCAGGACAACAAAGTATCTGCAGCAGAACTTTGTGAAGTGAACTATGCTGTCAAGCATCACCAATCATACAGGAGGTTTACAATGATTCTGCAGTAACTAAAGGGTAACGTGTGGAAAAACAAATGCTAAAGCTTTCCTCGCTCCCTACTTCATCAAGGAGCATGTAGACTACATCAGAGAAAACCAACTCCATTTCTCACTGACGACTGATGCGTCAAACAAAGGTACTACCAAATGGTTCCTATAGTACTAAGATACTTTCACTTTGAACAGGGCATGCAGAATGCTCTACTGAATTTTTACAGTTATAGCAATGAGACATCAGAAGCTTTAAAAAATCAGCTGCTGGCAAAAGTCGAGATGTCTGGTTTGGATTTACAAAAACCGTAAGCATACGGCAGACAACGCCAGTGTTAACTATGGAAAACACAACAGCGTTTTTCAGAAGCTAAAACGAGCTCAAAATGACATTATTGCAGCTAACTGTTTAGCACGTGTCTTGTACAATACCACAAGATATGTGGCTGACAACTTGGATCTGGATGTTGAAAACGTTGTTGAAGGTTTAAAGTCACGTTAGCATCTCAGCCAGCAGATCAGCACAGCTGTAGGAAATCTGTGAGTTTGTGGAGGTGGATGAGTGTAACCTAGTACAAGGTAGCTGTCTCTGCTGCCATCTACTGACCGAATGCTGAAGTGTTGGAAGCCCCAGACCAGCTATTTTCAGAGCCTTGGTGATGAAGATTGCCCTAAGTTATTGTGTAAATGCTTTGCAGAGGACAGAACGGAAGTGTCTGAGATGAACTTCCTCTTCCTCAGTCATATTCTGAAGGTATTTTCAGACTACATTGAAGCACTTGAGGCCAAATCATCCAGCATTACTTCTGTGTTTAAAGTGATGTCTGAGTGATACTTGAGAGGAGGCTAAAAGACAGGTTTGTCTTGGCTCTGCTGTGAACATCAGACACACACAGCTGTCCCACTGAACCTGAAGAAAGTAAGTGCCTACATCTTCTCCATTCCATGCAGCAATGCATACACAGAAAGGATTTTTTCCCATGATGACCTCAGCGTGGAGAAATGAGGGAAATTGTCTTGAAAGTGTGAAGGCAGAGCTGTAAATTTGTGTCAACTTTACATTGGAGTGCACAGACATGCAAAGGAAGTTTCTCACAAACAAAAGCAGCCAAAAATATAATGAGTGGACCTCCACGTACAGCAGTCATACTATGTAATGGCTTTGATATGTTTTATTTTTTATCTTTATTCAATGTTGAAATTTGTCTCCTTTTTGGTGTTGGGGAAAATGGCCATCCTAGCTTCACTTGATAAAAGAGTAAAACAAAAAGATGCTGTGGCTTCTGTAGGGGTACAAGAAATAACTTCTGGGTCGCTCCGGGTTACTGGCTTTTAAACAACTCTGGAGCTTTGCATTTTGCCTGCCAGTGTCAGTTTACAAATGCCTGTGCTGCAGCATAAGCTTGCTGCAGATTTGGCAACCTCATAAAATCATAATAATTATGTCCCATTTTCATTTTTTTCAAAAGGAGAAAAACTGACAACCCCTCCAGCCGGCTGAGAAAAATCTGCTCTAGAATAAGCTTCCTTCCAACTTGATTGACATATTTGAGTGTTTTATGATTATTTCACTGTGGATTTCTTACAAATTGCATCTTTAAGTAAATCCGACTTACAATCTCTTCAGTGTGTAGAACGCTTCTGCGCTGCACGGTGGTGCCCGATGAAGGTGACGTCACTTCCTGCTGTGGAGAGGACAGGATGGACACTGGGCTGCTGGGTTTCACATCATTCAGACTGGCTTCAGACACAGCGGAGCACCCCTTCAGATATGCCTGAGCAGGAGGAGGGAGACCGTCTTCAAAGAAATCTGGAACTTAAAGAGAAATCAAGTCATCATCAGCATAAAACATGTTCCTCAAACCAGATTATGTCTCATCTTTAAATAAAGAGCCAGAATTCCTGGAAAATGCATTTTTACATTCCCTTTTAGGAGCGCTAGTTATGCTTTTGACATAAACGTTAGGCCTTTCTTGTGTTTTAGCTTTGCTAACTGATTTGCCACATTGTGGGTGTGTTTGTTGTGAATTTGTCTTCACAATAACATCAAGGCTCCTCCACCTTCGCTCGCCAACAGCTGCGATGGTTGCCATGAGAGCAACGTTTCGGCGTTTGAAGCAGTTTCATTTACTCTTGTATTGATTCATCTGAAGGAGCATGACTTCAAAGAAAATGGGCTCGCCGCTCATTAGTGTGAAGGAATAAATTAAATAAACAACAATAACGAGACCGAGGAGTGACTGAGATGTTCAAAGATGTTGCCTCTGCTTTGCTGCTGTAATGGGAGGGTTGATGAAGAATGTTTTAATCTTTATTTCTGTCTTTTCTGGTTTCCTAAAGCCAATGTTGGGATTTCTTCTAGGCAACAGGACTTTATGTTAATCACCCCTCCTGAATGATAATGATGCTATAATGAAGGAATCAGTCGTTTTTCATTATTCTAATTGCCTTTTTTTCTCACTCAAGATAATTATTCCTTAATGAGAATAAATAAACCGTTATTCCACCCCTCCTCTTACCCGGGCTGATCGTTTTCTCAGATGCAAACCCAGCCTCAGAGTTCTCTGATTGGATGCTTTGGATGGACGACAGCGGGATGTCGGTGTCTGTGCTCGTCAACCAGGTGGACTCCGTCTCTTTGGTCCAGCTCTCCAGGTAGCGAGGCTCTAGAGCGTCAGTCCTGCTACCCCCGCAGCCCATGTCTCAGTTTCTGCAGGACGCCCTCACTTCCTGGACTAACTGTTCAGAAGGGGAGTGAGACCCATCTTTATCTCAATCAGTCATCTTTTTTTTAATATGAGATCATTCAAATGGTGCCAACAACTTACACCAGAGCTGTAGGAGAATGTGATGGCCTCCATGAGTCTGGTTTCTATTTATGGTTCATCTAAAGATACAATCAAATGGTCCTTTCTGTGTTAACACAGTTCTGTTTATCCAGGATTGTTTAAAGAGAGCATCTTCTGCTGAACAAATACGCCAAGGAGGTCATTTCAGACAGGAACCACGAGTTTGTTCCGTAGAGGGAGCAAGGCATTCTGGATGGCTGGTCTTGTGAAGATGTGGTTCTGCGAGAGAAAAGAGTTGGTGTGAATGCAATCCTGCACCATTGTCTGTTTTACTTTACATTAGAAATACTCCAGTTTCAGGAAGATAAGGGCTTCCGCCTTCACATGTTGTAGGAACCTAGGTTTCAGGTAGGCTGCTTCCCATCAGAACTTGAATGAACTAAAACTCATGTTATAGTAGTTCCAGCTTCTATGAAAGATGGGGTGGTTCAGCCAATTCTGAAGAAGTTGGGCACTGATTGGTCTGTTTGTCCAATTACAGGCTTATCTTCAAACTTCCTTTTACTTCAACACAGTTGGAAAATGTTGTTTTACAGCAATTGGTCACTTTTTGAGGGATTTAATAAATTTCATATGTTTCAGTCAGGGCTGACAGTAGAGCCCTGCACGGGCCTAAAATCTGAGCCCGTGTCCGGCCCGGCCCCAGGGGTGGAGCCCCAACCCGACCCGGTCCGAAAAGGTTTTCAGGATTCTTTGGCCCGACACGAGCCCGACGTTTTTTTTAACCTTTCATAATGCTTTAGCGTGATAGGATGCTCAGCGTTCTAATTAACTGTGAGAAGCGTTCTGCAGTTAAAAAAAAAATTAAAAAAGAAAAGAAAAGAAAGAAAAACAGCATCAATGCAGCTCTTTTTTCTAACAGAGCGTATTTTTCGAGCGGCGGATGAAATTTACAAACACTATATTAATTGGATGCGTTTGTAAATTTAATCTGCTCTGAAAACGCGCTCTTGTGCAATTAGGAAAAAAAGCAGAGTTCTAATTTTCTAACTGCAGAGAGCATTTTCAGAGCGGCAGATTAAATAAACGCCCCCAATTATTATAGCGTTTGTAAATTTAATCTGCCGCTCTGAAAATGTGCTCTCCAGTTAGAAAAAAACCAGCAATGAATGCTGTATTTTTTTTTAACTGCAGAGCGAATTTATTCACAGAAAAATAGAATGCTGCCGTTTTCATGAGAATAAACAAATGGTTTCTGACATCAAAGTGGACATAAATGGCATATTAGAACAGGGGCACATGTTTCAATCAGCAGTTTGAGAATTCGTTTATAGGCGCATTTATAAACCACACAGACCTTAACTGAGCTAATGGGTGCCGGTGCATGAGAAGCAGGCAGGTGCTGCTGCGTTCAAGTGTTTCAGTTTTTTTTAATGAATTTGATTAAAAATGAAGGCGCCCGTCCCGGCCCGTGTCCAAGGTAATTACACAGTCGTTGGCCCGAAGCCCGGCCCTCGGGCCGTCGGGCCGGGCTGGCCCGAGGGCCTATGGCTTCAGTGCAGGGCTCTACTGGACAGAGTACAGAAACTGCACTGTTGATAGTGTTAAATTATATCTTTCAGGATTTGGATCAGGGCGTACCAGCAGTACTGCTGTTACTGGACCTAACAGCAAGCTTTGACACGGTCGATCATCACATTCTGCTGGACCGCCTGGAACATTGGGTAGGGATTACAGGGTCAGCCCTTGAATGGGTATGGTCGTATCCACTAGGAGGTTCTGTGTTAAGGCGGGGGAAGCTGCCTCGCCTTGGGAAGATCTGCGGTAGGGGGTACCACAGGGTTCTGTTCTGGAGCCTCTCCACTTTGCTCTTTACTTAGTCCCCCTGGGGGATCTCCGCAAACATGGAGTGAAATTTCATCTTTATGCAGATGACTGCCAGATCTATTTTCCTCTATGTTCAGGAGTGGGAGGCTCCATCTTAAACCTTTTGATCTGTTTGGATGAGGTTAACTTATGGCTCGCAGCTGATTATCTTCACCTGAACCACGGTACAATTGAGAGCTCATCGCATTTCTTCCCACTAGTAAGGTGGGTGGGAGCATGGACGTAGTTTTGACTTTAGAAGGGGGGCACAACCGCCATGAGGACCGGGGGGAATGTTTGCAGTAAGTATACAAAAAATATACATAAAACTACAGCCTAGAGGCTCTTTTATGCTATTTCAGGAATGCTGAACTGTTGAGTATACAGGTGGCAGGAACGGCCAATCACACTTAAGCAAGTATCATCATGGCCAATAGATGAGCTTATGGAGGGTTCTAATGGGAAACAGGCTTCAACACAAGTGATTGTTTTCTGCTTGGTCCTAGTGCTCAACCAGTGTCTATTTAATATAGCGTAATATAGTTTTTGGGTGGTAAAAGTGCAGGGGACAAAAGTTGACTTTGGAAAAAGTGGGGGGACGTGTCCCCCTGTCCCCCCCCAAAGCTACGTCCATGTGTTGGAGCTCCTGACCTGGATGTTCAGTCACCTTACCAGCAGTTAATTTTTTGTAGTCTGGGGGTGAGACTTGACTCAGAACTAAAATTTGATGCAAACATTAACATAGTGGTGAAATCTAGCTTCTTCCACCTGTGATGTTGAGGTAAAATCAAGCACATATTTTCAAGACAGCACTTTGGATCTGTATTTCATGCTTTTGTTCTGTCAAGGCTTGATTATTGTAATGCACTTTACGCTGGACTGAGTCAAGCTGCGCTGAGGTGCTTACAATTTGTCCATAATTCAGCAGCGTGTCTGCTGACAGGGACACAGAAAACAGAGCATATCACTCCTGTATTGGCCTTACTGCACTGGCTTCCTGTGGACTAGGTTTAAGATTTTGCTGCATGTATTCTGGGCTCTACAGGGTAATGCTCCTCTGTATTTTACTGCGTTATTAAATCGGCATTCTCCCTCACGATCTCTGCAATGAGCTGAACAGGATTTGTTCAATGTTCCACGCTCTAGGCACAGGACCAGGGGAGATCGTGCCTTCTCGGTCCTGGCGCCAACTTCAGAATGAGCTGCTGCTCATTAATCGACAGTTGCCATCACTCCAGATTTTCACCTGAAGACACATTTTTATTGTATGTTTTTTTAATCTTAATTGCTTGTGATATGACCTTTTTATTACTATTTTCATTATTGCTCTTTTGTGATTTCATTCTAAGTTGTGTTCAGCGCCTTGGGCTCCTGCAAGGTTGGTGGAAGAAGGAGCTATATAAATAAAATTTGATTGATTGATTGATTGAAAAAAAAATCATGCTTATAATTGTGTTTTGTCATTAAGCTAACAGTAGCTTTTACTTCCAACCCACCCTCCCAAAATGAAAATGCTGCAAAAGCAGAAAGCCATTTTGCATGAACATTGCACAGATTTAAAAAATGTATTAAAAATACAAAAAGGAAGTTATTCAAACAATGAGAGAGGAAAAAAAAACACCTGATCAATTTTACATTGATAATAGATCAGTGAAAATGGGAAACCTATTTCTCTTTTCTTTTTTAAATTATAGGATTTAGCTCTTCATATGTCCGAACAAAAAAGAGAGCTATAGTTGTATAAAATTATATAGCTTATTCCTGTATTTCCAAAAATAAAAATAAATGAATAGGAATGATGCAAACTATTTTAACTGTCACATTGAACAAATTAAAGGAAACCCTTTTATAATTTTCTTCTGCTTACATGGCAAGGCGTTTTATCCTTATGTAAATGTTCATTTAAAAACACTTTATGAAAACTATTTCTTGGCTGAGCCGAAGCCCCTTGTCAGAAAACGCTATTAACGCCTCTGCTGATCTTAATGGGGGAAGTGCAGCAGGTTTCTTTTATTGACCAAACACGAAATGCTTCTCTCAGACTGTCCCCTCATAGATAATCTTATAACCCGGATCACCTTTGTCGTTTCTATTTTCACCCCGTGATTAAACTCTCGAGAGAAACGCATCTGAGAATAAAATGCGCAGCTAAAACAGCGCAGTCATCACAGGCCAGGAGAAAACATTCATTAGTCACCGCAGAATAAAAGAGACTGCGATTAAAAACTAAACAGAAAGGCGATTGAAGCCACTAAACAGAGAAATGAAAGCTAACGCAGGGGAAAAAAACAGCTTACGTGTTTTAGACTCGCCTCGATGCTGCAGCCTCCGGTCTGGCACGCACGCACGCACGCACAAGCGCTGGTTAAATATTAACACACACACACACCAACACATGCACTGAGGATTTAGCTTCTTCATCCATCCTCTCCAGTGGATCTTAATCAAGGCAATAAATGATCAAGAGTCGATCTTGTTGAATTTAATAGATGATCTCAGCTGTTGCTAGGTAGATCTCAGAATAAAATCAGGACTATTTTCTGACATAAATCTGAGTAAAACCTAGAACCAGCTCTTGTAACAAATGCTTGTTGTTGTAATTGGTTCAGATATTTGTCACTAAGAAGGGACCACTAGTTCGATGGGATCTCTCAAAACTGATAAAACAACAAATGAAAGGTTGTGAGATTGTCAACATGAAAATTAAATGAAAGAAAAAAAAATATGACTTCCCTTTTAACAAAAATGTATATAGTATTCTTACATAGATAAAGTGAAGTTTCATGTGAGCATTTACACTTTGATGATCTCTGTTTTAGCCAGTAGGGGGCACTACCTCTCCACTTCCTTAAATAAGAAGCGACTAATCCTGTTCGAATTCACCAAGATTCTAATTATAGACATCACAAAGAAATATCAAACAATTAATTTTGAAGGTTTCAAGACTTGAACTACTGATTTAAATGGTGGCTGTTTAACACAGAGCCAGGTTTGAAGGTGCATCTGTGTTTTGTGCTTTATATGTGAAAAAGAAAAGATGTGTGCAAAAAACCCATAGTTCTATATCCTCAGTAAAATGAAAGTCCCTTGTAGAAAAACAAAACTTGTTGCTCTTTGTCTGCCACCTGATGGTAACATTCTCATCACCACAACAGCTGCTTCTTTTCCCAAAACTGTATTTTATAGATTGCTTGTGAAACTTTTCATTTGGCAGCAAAGTGCACATCCATCATAGTGTTCTGCTGCAGTCAGAGTGATTTCCTCAATGCACTGGAGGAACAATAAACAGCAGCTTTAGTGTTTCTGAAGCGTAGCTGCCTCGATGCAGACAGTCACTCGTGTAAATCAGGAGTCGTTTATTTCTGACGTAAAGTTAACAAAAACATCCAGCATAAATATGAGGCTCCCACTGGAAGCATGGGGCTTGTTTAAATGTGCAGTGTGTAAAAATATAGTGAGAATTTTACAGGGAGAAAATCCCAAATGTTTCAGTCATTTTGGAAGGAAGGTTATACTGAAACATATTTCATATCCAGCTGGTTGTGGGATTGTCAGTTTTTCTCCTTTCAAAACAAAGGAAGGAGGGACTATTGTTTACCATCAGTGAGTGTGGGGTTGCGTGTCTCCTACGAGCTAACACTGCAGCACCGGCTTTGTAATTTGACGACGGCCAGCAAAAAGCTCCAGAGTTGTTTAAAGTGTTTGCTGTGACCAAATTTTACCACAGCATGTAATTTTTACCTCATTTGTACATAATGCACCTTTAACTCATTCGCTGCCAGCGTTTCTCATCGTTTTTACTGTTATTTAAGAGTCACAGAACGTTGCACGCTTGGATGATGTCGACGCCAAAACAACCAAAACAAAGCGGAGACTCACTCTTACATCAGGAAGAATCCGCGTGTTTCAAGCGTTATCCTTTCTTTCATAATCTGTTGTTCGACAGAAGCTTTTCCGGTTCGTGCCTCACTTTTTTTTACAGCAGCGGCCCAAAACGATCTCCTAACACATGGATTTTCTGCTTTCTGATCATGTGACGTGTGACGTATGCGGATGAAGATCGGCTTTAGAGCTGAGATGCTTGTTCTCACAGCGCGGGGGCTCGTTCCAATGCCCACACAGTAAGAAAAATGCAAATGACGACTTCAGTTGTCATTGGCAGCGAATGAGTTCAGTAAGAGACGGTTAAATGTGCAGAATATATCAAATTTCCACTTTAACTTGGTGCACAAAGTGATTATAATGCAGCTGAAAATTTTCATTTGGGAAGTAAAAGGTTCCAAATTTGTAACATGTCTCCCATTTGATGAAGCACTAAACTTAAAGGTACATAAAGTAAGAATGACGTCCTGTGGTCAACTAACAGGAGTGGACCCAAAACAGAGCCTTGAGGTACCACACAGAACAGATCATTGGAATATGCCGTGGCTGGTTATTACTGAGAAAAGTAAATCAATATTTAAATATATTAACCATTTTTAGTGCAGACCTGGGGGTTTCTATGCTGGATCAAACCCCCTCAGTGCTCTGTCCCCCTAGCTGATAAATCTCACTTCCTGTGGACAGATGAGTCAATATGAGCCTGGACAGCTTTGATTTGTATGTCCTGCCCACATGTCCTATTGGACTCCGGGTCAATAGGCCTGTCCTCCCATTACCGCGGCGATTAATGTGGCACGCTGCCAATCGGGACACTGGAGTGAATCATGGTTGGTCATGATGCATTCAGCTGGTTCAGCAGCAAACATAGGTGCACACAGAGGAATTCAATGGAAGATTTACTTAATATTGGATTTTAGAGCATTTTTAAATTGCAAGTCTCTGGTATCCTATTAGTCCACCACTCCTAAGATTTATGTTCTAGTTTACATTTAAATTTAGTAATATAATGTGTGATAATAACAGTTCATTTGTGTTTTCATAACCTCATGGAGAATAATTTAGACAATCCTTTTCATTTTAAAGATGTGAACAGTCTTTGGGAAGAAGAAAGCCAACCGTATTTAAATTCCAGGGTTTTCTGAATCAGGATGTAATAAATTATCTGTAAATCAGTTTCTAAAACTATTCAAAATGAGTGTCAAGTGAAAAAAAAACCAAAACATTCTACCAAGTTGTTATGGATGAATACTGTCACGATGCGCTGGTGAGTGGAGCGGAGGTAAGGATCCAAACGCTGAAGAGGAAGCAGGCAGACAGACAAACTGGAAAACTTAAAGGGTTTTAATGATATATGCACGCAGGACATGGAAACAATGAGCCAACAAGAGACACAGAACTGGAGGGGTTTAAATACAAGAGGGCTGGGAGCTTGGGTGATTGGAAAACGAGAGGCAGTTGGGAGCAATTAACAAAGACGCAGGCTGAACCAAATGGGGAGACAGGACAGGGTGTGACAGTACCCTCCCTCAACAGGCGGATTCCAGACGCCCACAGGAACTCAGAGCAGGGTGGGAGGAGGGGGAGCCGGAGGGAGGGCCAAGAGGGACCGAGGGGCCGATGGAGAGGAGACAGGGACCAGTAGAGTCTGGGGGTCTGCGTCTGGGGCAGAGCAGGCGACGACAGGCTCTTGGGGGCCTGCTTCTGTGGCAGAGGGGGAGACGACGACGGGCTCATGGGGCCTGCGTCTGTGGCAGAGGGGGAGACGACGACGGGCTTTTGGGGGCCTGCGTCTGTGGCAGAGGAGGAGGCGACGATGGACTCTTGGGGGCCTGCGTCTGTGGCAGAGGAGGAGGCGACAACGGGCTCTTGGGGGCCTGCGTCTGTGGCAGAGGAGGAGGCGCCGACGGGTTCTTGGGGGCCCGCTCCTGGTGAGGGCAGTACCGGCGGTGACCGGAGGCAGAGACGCCGGAGGAGACGTCCTTGAATCCTGGACTGGAGGCGGCGGCGACGACCACTGGACTGGAGGCGGCGGCAACGGCCACTGGACTGGGGATGGCGTCGACCACTGAACTGGGGACAGCGTCGACCACTGGACTGGAGGAGGAGACGTCGGACTGGAGGGGACGTCGACCTCTGGACTGGAAGAGCCGTCGACCTCTGGACTGGAAGAGCCGTCGACCTCTGGACTGGAGGGGGCGTCGACCTCTGGACTGGAGGGGGCGTCGACCTCAGGACTGGAGGGGGCGTCGACCTCTGGACACGAGAGAGCGTCGACCTCTGGACTGGAGAGAGCGTCGACCTCTGGACTGGAGAGAGCATCGACCTCTGGACTGGAGAGAGCGTCGACCACTGGACTGGGGACGGCGTCGACCACTGGACTGGAGGAGGAGATGTCAACCACTGGACTGGAGGAGGAGACGTCGACCACTGGACCGGAGGGGGACACGTCGGACTGGAGGGGACGTCGACCTCTGGACTGGAGGGGGCGTCGACCTCTGGACACGAGAGAGCGTTGACCTCTGGACACGAGAGAGCGTTGACCTCTGGACACGAGAGAGCGTTGACCTCTGGACACGAGAGAGCGTCGACCTCTGGACACGAGAGAGCGTCGACCTCTGGACACGAGAGAGCGTCGACCTCTGGACTGGAGAGAGCGTCGACCTCTGGACTGGAGAGAGCGTCGACCTCTGGACTGGAGAGAGCGTCGACCTCTGGACTGGAGAGGGCATCGACCACAGGACTGGAAGGGGCATCGACCACAGGACTGGAAGCGGTGTCGACTTCAGGGCTGGGGGCGTCGATCTCCATCGACTTCTGGTCCGGGGGCGTCGACTTCTGGTCCGGAGGAGGAGTTGCTGCAGACGGGACCGCTTGGACAGGCTGGACCGGATGCGGTGCGACCTCCGGGACCACCGCTGGAACTGGATGAGGTGTAACCTCTGGGACCACCGCTGGAACAGGATGCGGCATGACCTCTGGGACCACCGCTGGAACTGGCGCTGACTGGACTGGTGGCGCGGGACCTGGCGCTGACTGGACTGGTGGCGCGGGACCTGGTGGAGCCGGTAACTGGAAAAGCAGGGAGGATAGATTGTCCAGCTGGAACTCCTGGAGTCTGAGGATCTGACGGAGTCGGACCAGCTCAGCTCGGACACCGGCGAGCTCTGTTGGATGGACTGCGAGCTCGGTCCTTTGGCCTGGAGATGAGAGAGCTGCTGACTGGACCGGAGGCGGGGCCGCTGGCTGGACAGAAACCCTCTCCTGGAGCTACGGGTGGCATAGGGTGTCCAGCTGGAATTCCCGGAGGCTGACGAGCTGACGGATCCGGCCAAGCTCCGCCTGGAGACCGGCGAGCTCTGTCAGCTGGGCTGTAGGCGTGGTTCCTCCACCTGCAGATGACGGAGAGGAATTGGAGCAGGCACTCCCAGGGGAGAATCTCCCCGCTGGATCCATTAGGGGGTTGGCTCATTCTGTCACGACGCGCTGGTGAGTGGAGCAGAGGTAAGGATCCAAACGCTGAAGAGGAAGCAGGCAGGCAGACAAACTGGAAAACTTAAAGGGTTTTAATGATATACGCACGCAGGGCATGGAAACAATGAGCCAACAAGAGAGGGGTTTAAATACAAGAGGGCTGGGAGCTTGGG